TAATACACCCCCGCATTACCCAAAAAAGCAGATCAATAACAAACCCTTCCTCCCTCTGAAAGGAAATTTCGACAGAGCTTAACGTCTACCTCAAGGTGCACAGTAGATCTGTAAATTCGGTCATCCTGTCGCGTGTGAAATAATAATTGTATTTTATCCCGCATGCTCATACATTGGCGAAATCTATCAACAGTATGCCGTTTTTCAACCGAGAAGTATGCGATTCGAGATCCCGACGTTGCCACTTTACAGTTGTTTTAAGATGGAATGGTTATATAAAATTTTCCAAAACATAATCTGTATAAGAAATGAGATCTTTAGAGAAAATTGTTACCCTGCTGCAACTGACCGAGTGATGGCAACGCTCGCGCCTAAAGACGCTAGTCGACACGTATACTGTTATTTTATTACTTCCCACGCCACTGGCAAAGAAGTATTGTAATCGCAATAAATTTTGAAAATGATCTATTATGTGTTTTTTTTTTGATGTTGTATGACATGTCAACACGAAAAAAAATGCCAACCTTTTCCGTCGGTCTGCCTGCCTGTCTGTCTGTCTGCTAATCCTTGACCCCGTTATAACTTTGAAAGTACTGGTCGAATTTTGATGAAATTTTCACACAAGGACAAGAAAATTTTGTAGTTTTTATAAATCGATTCAGTGCGGTGGGCGAAGGAGGTTGTATCTGAATTTTTGAGTGGTGAAAAATTGGAGGTGGATGTTGTGAGGAGGAGGGAAAGGGTATGTCTCATTTTTTGACGCCTCCAGCCGCGTAAATTCTACGAACCTATTAGACATATTTCACTCACCATAGGTTTCCCCCTACATTTATCCTTAAAACTTAGAATGATGCAGAATATTTCCGACACTCGCGTCAATCTTGTGCGTCCGCAGGAATTTTTCTCAGGGGAAGAGGGAGGGATGTTTGAATTTTTTTTAGAGAAAACGTCTAAAAAAATAAGACGGTGTACGATTGTTGCAAAATTTAAATACAAACAAAAATGCCACCGAGTTTTCAAGGCACATTAAGTAATTTACGACTTTCAAAGTTGCAATAAGGATTTTAAGCGTGTCCTCAACATCTGCATCTGGAAAGATACTAACCCACGTTCTCCTTTGTTCATGATAAGAAGCGACATAAGCTAAATACCAACAGAACAGGAAAACTATGCTACATTGCCCATAATTGGAAAGTTATACACAGAACAAAGGCATCCGCTATCAATAATTCGACCAAAAACACAACTGGTAACACTGAATCAATTTCACAACCACAGCAAGCAAAGAATACTGAAACTCGAGTACCGTCAAGAAGCGTAGAAGGCAAAATCTGAAACCATTAATAGTGATAACATTTGTACTACATCGCCTTGATCATGCTTCTTACATCACAGGCGGAATCGGAATCGGAGACTTAGTTTACTACTTTATTATTGTTGATATGCGCTTATGTATAATAAACTTTGTATTACTGTATTAGTTGTTTGTCTATATCCTTAAGTGAGTAAACTGTTCAGATGTTTTTCAGCCGTACATCCTATGTTGACACTTTTGGCCCATATTCCCCCTAATATTACCTTGGATTGAAATTGCCGGAAATCGCACAACGCTGTTACAAACACAAGATATTGCTATGAACTTCTGATCACTTTGATGGCCTTGGTAAATTGACAGTCAACTTGCATGCTTTGGAAGTTTTTTATTTGGGGCGATATACACGTTTCGAGCTATAACCGCGAGGCAGAAAGGTAGTTAGTATGTAATAAAATATGGTGCATTCATTGAGGAAATGGTTTGTCAAAATCTCAATTTGTTAAAATGTATCTTCTTCTGTTCTACAGGGTGACTTCGAAGTTGAGTCATTTATTTTAACAGTGAGTAGATCTGATCAAAATAAATGTTTTTTTCCTTTACCATTTTTCTGGTAAAATTAAAGTAACAAAGTTATAGCCCTTTGGAAGTTTGAGTACCGCCCTGTCTCAATAATAATATTGTGCTCGTGTTTGGCGACAACGGATATAATCCGCCGTATCGGTTCATCACATCGGAAACAAAAAAGCGAAAGAATTTGGAACGATATTTTTACAATTATTTCATTCATTTGTATACAGTCAGTGACAGTGAATAGTGGTATCTGTTGCGTGGCTCAAACGAAATAAAAAATGGCACGGTTTCCCAATCGAGTGCAACCAACCCCTCGTGCCTTTGTTAATGTAGTACAACGGGCTCGTGAATCAGGTGACTTAAGACCTCACAGGGGACCTCACGATCAAATACAGGTCCGCACTGAAATACTTGTCGGGAGGATACTTTATAAAACAAGGTAAACAATTTTTTTTAATTTTGTTTTATTTTTACACACATATTTTGGTTTATCTTCCTTCTACAATCATTATCAGAAAATTAATGACTCAACTTCAAAGTATATTCAGATACACCTTTCCAAAAGAAGACAATTGATAGAACATGCTAACTTCATCCGTTCAAAAAATAAGTAGGTGAAAAGCACCGTATTGTTGTAAGGATTAGTGTGTGTTCGTCAATTTTGGCATAACAATCAAGCTTAAATCGCTTTAAGATAAAGTAATCTCAAAATAATGATCGGGGTCTTGCAAAGCAAGATTTAAACTTTAATTTAGTTACTTGGCGATCTCAAAACTTATAATTTTTAACAGAGTTTTTAAGGATGGAATTACCCATTTTTAGGACCTTTCAGATATTAAATCGCTTATAACTCGAAAATGACCAGCTTTTGAGAAAAGTTAATGGAATCCTTTTTTGTTTGGAATGATCCAAAAAACCTGAAAAAGTTAGTTTTGGCAAAAAACTTTTCATTCAAAAAATCGCTCAAACAATGGACCAGGTACAAAACATGAAAAATCGATCCCAGTCGATTTGTCAAAAAAATCATTATGAAGATTTCTTGCCTTCCTGAACAGAAGTATCAATGGGAATATTAGGTTAGATAGTTTGAAAAAATGGTGGATGTGTCAATTGTGTAGTTCTGAGACCATATACTCTGAGAATCAGTATACCAAAATAAATATTTCGTTAAAACACTTTGTAGGAAGGTGTTGGCTGGTGTCATGTTGATCGTAACCATAGTCCTTACAAGGCCAATTCCAGGTCAAGCTTGTGCTAGAGTGGATCTGCCACTAGTTGCTCCTGAATGCAGGAAACTCAGTAGGTCAGGTAGCTTTTCTAGGCTTCAGTTTATGTCTTGCTGTTAATGCAGATTCAAGATTGAGTGCAAATCTTACGTTTTTTTTTAAATTTACATTGCACAAAATGTTTAATCAGATCCAGATTACAAAGGATTCCTTTTGTACGGTTTACCAATAGTCCATACGCCGTTCGAAGTCCATTGTTACAAAACTTTTCTAGAAAATGTCTACATTCGGTGATTAAAACGACTTTTTAAATCAAGAATTCTAAACTTTTCAAGTGGGAGACATATCTGTAATATGTCGCTGTATTGTTAGATTAGCTTGGTATAAATGCTTTCACCTCTGGGAGGAAATTAATGACAGCTGTCCACGGAATTAGCCGATGAATCTCATTTAGTTACCAACACAAGATTTGCAGTTCGAGGGTTCTTCAAATACTGCATGGTCCAAATCTAAGAACCTTGTAGTTCATGCTCTTATTGAGGTACCATTATGCGATTATTATGGAAGGTACGTTAGTGCATCAGATTTAAGCAACGGGGCAAGTGAGATTCACTCACTTTTTTAAAATCCAACAAAGTGTTGACTACGGACATCTTATCAAAAAGTTTATGAAAGTAACGAGGTTGTTCTACCTTATAATCTTGCAATTACTAAAGGGCATTGCTGCAGACGTAAATCTGTTGTCCAGGCATATGTGGTTTTTCGACATGCTCTGCATGCTACTAGATTTTCGTTATCCTTCAAAAAAATTTACTCAAACTGTTTAATACGACGGAAGAAGACCAAAAACAGGAAAATTCAAATTAATAGTCAAAAAAATACGATACCCTGAAACTACGTTCTCATTAGTGCACTTTTCTTTCCCTTTCATCTTCCAAATCAACATGACCTTAATTTCACTTTGAAACGCTAATGTCCTATTGAGTTTACTGAATTTTCGAGCAACTCGTGCAAGATCTATTCCAGCATAAACATATGAAAATCAGCTTGCCTTGGAACTGACCTAAGGATCATCGTCACGATCCTTATGACACCTCCCTACAAGGTGTTTTAATGAAATATTTATTTTAGTATATTGTATCTTGGAGTTTTTGGTATGTCCATTCACCATTTTTGCAAATAAATCTGACAAACTATCCTCCTAGTCTCAGAAACTAATCATACGATTGTTTTGGCCGCTTTAAGGAAATATTTATTTTAGTAGACTGATTCCGAGTTTTTGGTCTAGAAACTACAATCGGCACATTCACCTTTTCTGCAAACCAGGCAAACTTAATCCGCCTATTTCTCAGAAACTAATCATAGGATTGCTTTGGTCCCATGGATACTTTTGTTCGGGAAGGCAAGAAGTATGTCAAACTGAATTTTTAGACAAATGGATTGGACCCATTTTCCATGTTTTTTTTATATTCATTACTCAAAAACTCGGTTAAAAATTATAATATTTGAGGTCGGTAAGTATTTAAGTCAAAGTTAAAACCTTGCTCTAGAAGACCTTGGATAGTTTAATGACATTAATTTTCAAAACGATTCCATAAAATTGGCGAACACTTTGTTTTCGCAGACTGTTCCCGTTTTCTCATAGCCACCGCTTTTTGTTGAATCGTGTATCTTTTCCTGGAATATATTAATCAATAGAAAAGTGCATGCACTCTATAATTCGTCTGAGATTTAGGAAGTATTCTCATATCTATAATTCTTCTGGATTATTATGTAGAGAAGCAAAAATTGGTATATTGCATAAAAATCGTTCTAAATCCGTCCCTGCCTCTCGATACACCGATGCATCTTATCTGCACTCTTTTGTGTATATCGCCAGTCGTTACAAAGCCAGAATGTGATTTTCTCCATATATTTCACTACTCTGTTCATCTGTGTCTGCTGAAACATAAAATCCGCTTCAGAAATACCTGAAGTATCACATCAACTCTACTCTGGGTTTTTCCTTTGTGTCGAGCGTTACCGTGTGCGTATTATGGCTCGAAACATGCAGGTAAAATAGCGTAATTTTTTCATTATGCTTACTTGGGAATCTGTTGCATTCAAAAGTAGCCTATTGTTTCTTGGCTGACTAAGATTGTTATTCATGCATAAGAAATCTCAGGGTAAGATAAGTCTTTGTGTCGTTATCTTTTGTTTTGCTGCTAATCGGAGGATATTAAAATGTTTGTGATTATTGCAGGATACGTCATTTGTTTTCTAGATGTTATGGAAATGTTTATCATCCTTGGATAATTTCTGAGATGGTTTGATAAATGCATTTTGGCAGTAGGTAGTAGGTGATTGCATAGATCGAACAGTTGTAAAGCTTTCTCGTCTGTAGTGTCTTAGTGAACCAATATTACTTAGCGAAGTTTAGGTGGAAAAGCTTCATAATTTAGAGAATTAAGAATATCAACACGCGTTTGGACGCCTAGGTATATTTGATACTCTCGTAATTATTCTTCTGTATAAGGGAAAAACGAGGCCGGAAATTTAATGTTCAAAGAACTGAAGCCTGTTGGCTGTTGAGTGTTATTAGTGAAAATTTAATGATATTGCATTTTATCTAAGTTGTATACAAAATATTAGTTGGTCTATCAACTATCCCTACATTTCTGTTATCCGTATCCGATTAAAATAACTATAAATTTAAGTAGATAGTAGATTGAGAATGAGCCTGCATTTGTTGATAACATTTAAACCCTTTCTGGCAAGCTATTGATATCAGATTGTTTGAATTTTATAGCCCAACACATACATTATTATTTAAATGAGAATGCGAGATCCAGTATCAACCTGATGATTTTCTTCTTTTAAGTGTACGAGTTGTGTTTTGTTGATAGTGATTTTCTGTTTTCAGCCGAATAACGGAGGTGGAGGTAGCAGTAGATCAGGAGGCGGGGCTTCATATTCAACTTCTGGCGGGAGTGGAGTAGGCAGTACCGGCGGCACCAAATCAGGTCAGTACTATAGACGAAATATTTTAGGTATTATGCATGCTGAGGAAGATATTCTTGCGAGGAGGGGAGGGGGTAGGTGGGTATCATACATCATGTTTTTTTATATTTTTGGGTACCCTATAGAAACTATTGGGAATTCTAAAAGATAGAGTTATCGGAAATAAAACTGCCGGTCAGAAAATGTTTTGTCACAAATCACGTTTCAATATTTCTCGAAATGGCGGACTGGCGACTGTCGAAAGTTGAGTGTTTTTGTGCATTGATCAAATCATAACTCTACAACTAATAATGAAAATCCTTTGTTATACCAATTGTCTTTTAAATGAGTTTATCCGGATATGAGGCCAAAACTACGGACACTCTGAATAATGCTGAATCTTTTTAAAATGTGCCCTTAGATATGGTATACGTCAATATATAAATAATTGTTTTTTTAACAGTTTCCGTCTAGGAGCTATCCTTTACTCGCGTGCTATAGGCAAATTGTAACTCCATGTCTCGTCCCTAGCCACGTCTCCTGTGTTGTCAAATTGGCATTTATTTGAACTCTTAAAAACCGGCTTTTTTCTCGACAAAGAGCGATCACACTTGTTTGTAATACCGATTCGGAATAGCTTAGTAATATTAATCTATTTCTACCAAAGACATATCCCTATTATTTTGACAGAAAACGTCTAATATTCCTGAGCTATTGTTGCCAGTTTGTCCGTCTTTTTCAGGATTTTTCAAAACATACGTTTTCGCTCGTTTTTACAACAGTGGCGTGTGTGTATCCTTGATCTGTGCAGGGCAGTATTACAAGGCCTACCGATTTTTTTTTTGTAGATCTACTGTTTTTAGTCCTGTTCTACACAACTACCGATTTTAATGCGAAAACTACTGAAAATTTTCGCACAAATCTGTCTAAAATTTTTAATGTTAGTACATTTATACGCTCCCATAACACATAATAGCTTTCTCTGTACATTAGCCCTTAAAACTTATTCTCGACAGACGGATCGTGTACCTACCGGCCGCGCTGCGGACTTTTCTGTAGTTCTGGTGTGGTATCACACGTCTTACAACCGTGTCACGTCATAGTGTTAAGTATCGCGGAGAGGCGACTTTCTCAGATGCACTACCAGTAGGGCAGGTAAATGATGTGTATGGACTGATGGTATGGACCCGATTAAATTATTTTTGACTCAGATGGTTTAGTTTGTGCTGAACATAATTCTTTATATGAACTGATAATGACGCTGCGTGGAAAGTGCAGACTTATCCTACTTGACGTCATTTTTTTATCTTTGTTGCCGTCAGTCTGTGAAAGGACTCCTCAGGTGGTGGTAGGGCGCATGGTGGTTACGTATATGCTGTTGCCACGTGATTATATTTTAAGAACTTTCAAGCTGAACATGTTTTATTGTTTTTTTTACTTTGTTTACAGGCGTGTCGTCGGTCTGTGGAGGGGGGGCTCCTCCGGCAGCGGCGACGATGGCCACGCAGCACCAAACGGCACCGGCCGCCGCCGGTTATCATCGAGCTGGCCAATGGAACACCGTGAGTGCCGGACACCAGCATCAGCCGCATCCGGCTGCGGCAGCTGCCGCGGCTGCTGCAGCTGCAGCCGCAGCCGCGGCTGTCGTGCAGACGCCACCCACTTATTACCAAAGGTAAGACTCTTCTGATAAGATTTAGTGCGAAACACCACTTAAGCTCCTTTTTTATTATCTACCCAGCGACCCAGCTAACGTTTTGTTAAAATGAGCTACCGCACTAGAAAAAGTTAATTATATCTATCAAATTTTAGTCATTATATCCTTGAATGATGTCCTCAAAAATTAAATTGTCTTGAGAGTTGAATCCTTTGTAAGAAATTGGTAACCACGTAACAAATCAAGGTCCTAACCGACCTTTGACCAAAAGGTGAAATTGGTTGGTTCAAAATTACAAAAACACTTCTGAAAAGTACTTAGGGAATTCATTATCTTGAAGACAAATCCAGAGGTTTACAGGTTAACCAAAAATAAGTCCTCAATTTTAGATACTTTTTTGAGCATATGGGTAATTAAAAATCATCTTATTAATGGCCATTTAATAATTCCTTGTAAGTTTGCAACAGATTGGTAATAAACAAGACTATGTATATGTCTACTAAATAACCCTATTGTGCACTTTGAGGTTACAAGGATTCTTTTAAATTTCTAGATTTCGACATTGACAGTGACTTAGGAAAGCTTTCTTTTTTGCGAACCTGCAAGTAGGAGAATCCTGAGTGAAGTTGAAATTACTTGCAAATATTGTCTTCATAGTTATAGTGCCAAAAATAGTCTTATAGCAATTTGATTGGCTCCTTACTGATCTTTGATTTTTGTTTGGTTCTCGGTTCTTTTAATTTACAAAGTCTAGTAGAAAAATATAAAATTTTATTGAGAAACAATAAGACACTATTTTATTCGTCGAAGTAATTGCCATCACATTCAATGACGTTTTGCCAACATGGAACCAATTTTTGTATATCGGTATTGTAGAACTCCCTGGATTTGGAGTAAAAAAAATGGCGGACTGTATTATTACACCATCTCGAGTTGTGATCTGTCGGTGCCTCGTACAGTTGGCAAGAGACAAAAAAGGTGTTAATCACTGGGCAAATTGTCGGGAGAAAATGGCGGGTGAGGTAACGTTTCCCAGCCGAGTTTAGAAAACAATTTTTCTGGTCACTTTTGCGGTATGAGGCTTGGCGTTATCCTGCAAGAATATCACTTTTTCCCGATTGATCAAAGCAGGCTGTTTATGGATGAGTGCTGCTTGTATTCGTTGAAGCTGCTCACAATACAAGTTAGCAGAGTTTTTTTGACCCGTTTCCAAAAACTCATAATGGACAATTCCAGTTGCTGTCCACCAAACACACAACAAAACCTTGTTTGGGTGCAAGGAAGCCTTGGGCATGTGAGGTACCGAATCAGTAGGCGACAACCAATGATACGAACGCTTAGAATTCGAATACAAGATCCTTTTTTCGTCGTAGGTTAATAACCGATTAAGAAATGGTTCATTAGCGTTGCGTGAAATGCTTTCTGAACAAATAGTAAGACGACTTAATTTGTTATCATTTGTCAATTCATGTGGGTCCCATTTGCTTAAGTTCCACGTCTTTCCTAGCTGATGAAGATGCAAACGAATAGTTTCAGGACTCACTCTGAACATTTCTGCAAGTTCTTGGCACGTTGTCCTGGAATTTGCGTCCACAACCATGGCAGTGTGCTATATACAGCAACGAACTTATTTGGTTACCTGATAATTTTTGTTCCAACAACAAATTCATGGCTAACTAAGGAAATCTAAAGAAATATATCACTAAATTTAGGACTGAAAATTCTATTTAAATGTACAAAACTTGAAAAATATAGCGTCCATGAGAAAAACAAAAGTTACTGATGGATGTCGAAAGAGGAAACCTCGAATTAAAAATTTGACTACACTATCTTGTAGAGGATAGAAAGTGATGGTGACAGCATGTAACTTACTTTAAAATCCCAACATAAGTCCGAAAAAATAAAAATGATTTTGCGATATACGAGACAAATGACTATATAATAATTTCAAGGAATATCTAGGAAATTCCGTTTTTCTGGAATAATTAAGGATTGGCAATCTCAATATGTGTCATATTATACATTTTTGAAATTAGAATTAAACACTATTAATTTGTGTTGTCCAGTATGGCGTCCATAAGAAAAAAAATTGATGCTGGAGGGCAAGAAACGAAACGTCTTATTGAAATTCTAATTAATAGGAAAGAAAAATTTTAAACGATTTTTTGCCCCCATTTACTTTTACTGTTTTCCGAGATCCCAATGGTGAGGATCGAATTTGAAATACCCGGTATAAGTGCGGGTGTTCCAGAAGGATCTACTTCTTTTTGCTTTTTGCCAACCTTTACGTTTTTTCCAGGTATACCCAACAAGCGCAGCAAATTCCTCAACCGGCCACACAAGCTACCCCACCTGCAACCGTTGGTGTTGCGCAACCACCTCAGAACACATACACCCCTACTAATACGACCAACGCCAACTATAGCAGTAATTCGGTAAGTCAGTATGCCACAGTTATTTTACAATGTATCCGAATGTCATTCACGCCGCGTCCAGATAAATACCAGCGCCCAAACTTCAAAACCTTGCATTCTTAATGGTTAGATTGCCGTAAATGCTTAACAATTCAATGACGTCCCAACTAGCATTTTGTTAAAATAATCTACCACTCAAGAAAAACTTTCCCATATTTATTTGTAAAATTTTAGTTATTATATCGTTGAGTGATGTCCTCAAAAAATGAATTATCTCGAGAGTTGAATCCTGTGTCAAAAATTGGTAACTAGGTACCAAATTTGGCCCCTAATAGACCTTTGTCCAGAAGGTGATATTGGTTGGTTAAAATCTACATAAAATACACCTCTAAAAATTACGTGAAGAATTCTCGTCCTCGAAGACAAATTCAGAGGTTATAGCTTACCTAATATTAACGTAAAATATGACCTCAATATTAGATTCTTTTTTGGGCATGTTGGTAAGTAAAAATTATCTTATTATGACATAATTCCTTGTAAGGTTGCAACATAGATTGTTAAAAAACAAGACAATATTCTACTAAATAGCTCTCTTGTACACCTTGAGGTTGCAAGGATTATTTTAGTGAATATCATTCTAGACTTCGGCATCGCCACTAACTCTGAAGGAAACATTTCTGTTTTTGCCGTCCTGTAAGTAGAAATGTCTTAACTGAAGTTAGAATTGCAAATATCTCTTCATAGTTATAATGCCCAAAAATAAGCTTTCGTGGCCATTTGGTTGCCCCCTTACTGATCTTTGATAACTGTATGGTTCTCGGTCCTTTTAATTTGCATCTGACTTGCGTGTACGTACTAGTCAGTGATATTTATACAATTTAGATGGCTGAAAATTTAAACGGGTAGAGACCTAAGGTACTGGTTATTATAAAAAACTCAGCTATCACGATTTTTTTTAAATGCGCAGGGGCGTTCAGTTCGAAAGTATTGTGGTAATATTTGGACTGTGTAAGTGACGTTTCATGTAGGTTGACTCTGCACACATCAGTTCATAAAGTTCAGCACAAACTAGGCCTTCTGAGAAAAAAAATAAATCAAAGAGATTCATACAATTAGCCCATGGATATTCTTTCCGGTAGTGCATCTCCCCGATACTTTACTCTATCAGACATGGCAGCGCGATCAGAGCATTGGAAACACTATGATGTGGCGCGGCAGAAAAAGGTGTGATACCGTACCAAAATAACAGAACACTCACCAAGGCCGGCGGCACGGCGCCGGGAGCAGCAGCCGCGGCCAGTAGGTATGCGATACGTCTGCCAAGTTTTAAGGGCTAACGTACACCGAAATCTATGATCTGTGACATAACTCTAATAGGTAAATAGATTTACCAAGGTTGAGAGCGTATAAATGTGAAATCAGATAAATGTACTATCACCAAGTAGCTTGAATCTGTACTTCCGACGCAACGCCATCAGTTCATAAATGATCAAGTTCAGTGCAACTTGAATCCTCTGAGAAAAAATTCAGTTCGGTCATATACAACAGCGAAATTAAACGTATTATTAAGTCATTCAATCAGGCCCATACAATTAGTCCACAAACATTGTTGCCTGCCCTACTGCTAGTTACCGTCTATACGGCAACATCGCTGCAGCAAGTTATCCGTTTCGTGCAAGTTCCATGTTTGTTTCAGCGCTTCAGTACGGATAGATATATAAACGGCCGGTTCGCCAGGCGGAGGACTTAGATAGGCAGGAGTGCGTAGATCTTAGACATTTCTGTATCATTCTTTAAGCTTTAAAGACGTACGTTTTTTTGATCTTATTATATTTAAACGCTTCCAACCCCGGTAATTCGATGCACCTGTTAGGCATATTTCAGATATATTATATTTCCCAGTACATTTGCGTTTAAAACCTGATAGAGAAATGTTTTCGTTCTCGTACTCCTGGTATCTAAGCTTACCGTACCGGTTGAACTTACTAATCTGTTTGCATTGCACCGCACAAAACATACACGGAACGAACGATAACTCGCTGCAGCGGTGTCGCGGTGGGCGCTGCCGTGCAGATGTGGCAAGCGACGATGTCGCCAGATGGACAGTAGCTACCGGTAAGGCAGGGAATGTCTATGGACTAATTGTATGGGCTCATTTGACCAACTTGATCCGTTTAATTTCTCTAATGTATATGTTCGTAACTTGACTATTTTCACAGAGGATTTGAATTGTGATGAACTCAATCCTTTATGAACTGATGTGGCACAGTGGGGCAGCATACCGTAAAAGTTGGTATTAATTCCCAGTTACCATCAATCGTATACTAAAAGTGTTATAGTAACCTTTTAAAGAAAATGAGAGCTCTCGCAAGATTTCAAGAAATAAACTATTGAGTTATTATACTTAACTCTGGATTCTTTCATTAATATCTTAGAGTACCTTTTTCAGAACATGGCCCCATGGGCTCAGTGTTATCTCCAATTTTGGCAGAATATGTGATGGATGACCTGCTTGATATTGTTATTCAGGTATTGCCATATAATCTAATCTTTATAAAAAAAAATATGTGGACGATCTTATCGTTTGTTTTCCTTATGAAGGGGTGGATGATATTGTTGAAGTTTTTTCTCAGCTATGATCCCTACATTCAGTTCACCACCGAAAAAGAAGATGATAATCAATCAGTTCCCTTTTTGGACTCAAGATTGATTCGCACCAACGATAATATATTTCTGGTAGACTGGTACAGGAAACCAATTTCCTCTGGAAGGTTCCTGAACTTCAGGTCTTACCACGAACTTGAAATAAAGATAAACCTGGTGAAACACATGAAGAACAGGGTAATAAAAATATCTGACAATACTTTCCATCTTTTCAATTTAAGGAAGCTTTCAGTCTTATTCATCACTAATGGTTATCCGAAGTATTTGGTTAACAGAATCCTGTTCAGCTCTCCTTCTAATATTTTGCCAATTGCGAATAACAATATTGACAATGACAACACTGTCCTGTCCAACCCGACTCCCATTAATTCTTCAACTAATGAGAATGACATCACTACGGTTGATGCTTCTATTTCCAGAGTTAATTATGTTGTCTTGCCATACATCAAAGAATTAACTCCAAAATTGATCAGGCTGTATAATTCCTCAAATTGTCGTTTTGTTTATAAATCAGTTATCTCAGTCAACAGTGTGTTTTCCAAAACGAAGGATAGTTGCTTGATTCAACCAACACTGTCTATCGCATTAATTGTAACAACTGTAATTTAGTATACATAGGCCAAACATTGAGATCACTGAATGGCAGGATAACCTCACACAAAATTGACGCCAGATTTCATCCAGAGAGGTGTGCTTTGGCATCACATGTTAACTCCCTTCTCTCCTTCAAAAATTTCTAGATTACACTTGTCCCGTGTCAGCGTCCGCGCTCTCCTATTGTGAAGATATGTTTTCTTTTTAAATTGTAGGAAATTTCAGGCTGATAAAACATGATATAACTCAAAAGCAAGCACAATTTGATGCAAATAGATGTTTGTGACATAACCTCAAAATAGAGCGCTGACACGGAGAAGTAGAAAACTAGTGACAATCAAGGAGGCCATAAAACCGCCCTACAATTGTAGGGACGACTGACGATACGGGCCTAAGGTTCTTGACAAGGAACAACAACCCTCAAAACGTCTATTTTTAGAAATGTCCCACATTTTCATGACAGATCATTGCATGAATAAAAAGGCTGATGTTAAGCAGCTTAGTGTCATTTATTCTTACTTGTTGAATTGCGGAAAGTTAGAACGTCTACATATTCCAGTTGATCTAACGTCCTCCCAAAATTAAAACACAATTCCAATTATTTATCCGGTTATTTGAAACATTGCCCTCACGGTAATAATAAAATTTTAATATATTTTCATACAACCCATCTTTTCAAGCGTGTATCACCATCTTACACTCGTACACTCATATGAATTACACTTTTGTCAGAACAAATTTAATCCAGCGTCTTGGGAAATAGGATGAGTTTTTACCGAGCGTCCCTGGTATACACTATACCTGAAGTTTGGCAATGATGTTTACATTTCCACATTCCTTCGCGACAATCACCTGTCATCTGTCGACGCATCACTCCTTCGGTTCGCTCATTTTCTCCACGTGAAACAGATGTAGGAGGTTAGAAGGGACTTTGCCGGTTTTCCCCCAAAATTGCTTTTCGATAATTTTAAATGTGTATTGACAACACCATTTGTCTGCAACCTCAGCGACGAGTAAGTTGTCCGATAACATAAACCCTTCCCGTATTGGTTGCTAGCTTCATATTTGTGTTTTCAGCTCCTGAAGATGGCTCCATAGAGACGCCGAAAGCTCGAGAATACCGTTAAAAGAGTTTCCTAAAGCCTAAAAAAATTTGCCAATTTCCTAATTAACAATTGATTGTATTTTTTGTCCAACTGGTCGTTGGAAATGGCAATGACTACTGCTCGCAGATTTTAGATCAGGATATAATCATTTAAAAGTCTAATAATAATTTATGTGCGGAACAATACATATCAGCATAAATCATTATCAGAATATGACAATAATGATTCCTCATTTTCATCCTCATCATCGTCTTCTTCTTTTCTCCTTTGGGATGTTTTTAAGTATTTGGTACAACTAGATCCTAGAACCAAAAGAAATCATAATTTACTACTGTTAATAAAAGTAAGAATGTTATTAGGTAAGTATCAATAATCCTTTTTCAGTCCGAAATCGCAAAAAATCGCAGATGCTTTTAACGTCCTGTAATTGCCCAATAACAGAACTATTTAGTCATACAAACAAAAGTACTCGATATGCCTCGATACACAAGTAAACCTCTGTATGTTTCTGAGAAAAGCAATATTCTTTTTAAAGATTATAATGATGACTTCTAAGCGTTATAATCCATTGTGAATACTCAATTTAAATAAGTGATGATTATCAAAATAGATTACATACCTGCAGCTGACATCTCCATCTGAAATATTTGAAATCTGACAAGGATTCCCCACATTCACAATATTTTTAATATAGTCAGAAACGAACGACTTAATGAATAGTATGCGTGCACTATGTAAGATGCCTGTTCAAGAGTGTGCTGGGATAGTAAGGGCACGTTATCAGACAAGAGACTTTCGTTGCAGTATGCGCTGGAATGTCGGTAATATAACTGTCAACAGAGCGAACGTGATTAAAGCACTTGATTTTTTGAATTAATACCAACTTTTGAGGTATTAAGCCCCACTGTGCGTCGGTGCGTGTGAAGTGCAGATTCAACCTACTTGACAGCATTTTTTTTATTTGACTAATTCACCAAAATGGTCACTGTCCGGCTAGCGGGTCCATGACTGAAAATGAAATGTGTTTGATACCGAGCGTGAACGGAATTACCGCTGTCCCGATTATGTCAAAGGCAAACTCATGACACTTCTTTCAGACCGAGACAATTCCACGCTTGCAAGGATCACATGCTTGAGAACGTAGCATTAGGGAAAAGTCTGAAGCAGATTAAAACTAAAACCAATATTACATATACGAGTATTTTTATTCTCATAGAACTTTGCTAGATAAGCCGTAAAGTAAGCAGGAATAGGGAATTAAAAAAGTATGAAATTAATGCTTGAGATTTGTAATTGAAAAATTTTACATCATCCACATCAATACACACCAAAAAACATTTAATGACAAAGTATGAGAATATTTGATGTATCTCATCTTAACAATTCATTGATTTTAGAAATTATAGCAACAGTACGTTCATCGGTTTGAAGTCTTTGCGTTTCTATCGACAGGATGTTACTTTATAAATTAAATAGAGATATAACAAGTATTAAAACTAAATATGCTTTCCTCCGTTCGATCAAAAAGAAAGGCAACAACGGACAGCTGTTTCGTGCGAATTGGCTACTCATTGGCATGGTTTAGGCTTGGTCTTTTGTCTATAGACAAACAAACGAAAGCATCGCAACTATCCTCTATACCGAAGAAGATAGATGGCGCTTTGCGCTGTCGTATTTCGATAGACCGTACCTTGGGTAGCATAGCAGCTATCCGCTTTCCACAGTGGTCGATTCTGGTCTGATAGATGTTTTCCTGTTATACCATTAAATTATAATTATGCATATGCCATATTTTTAATTAAATATCTTATATGTAGAAAAATAAACAAATAAATAAATTGGAAATATTCAACAAAAATATAAATAATTAGCAGAATTTGACAACGGCAAACCGTTTCGTTGAAAAATATATGCCGATATAATAATCAATAAAGCGACTATCTTTGAAACAATCAAAATGCATTGCATTTAGTCCGGTAATCCATAAGTACAAGCTTCGACAGTCTAATAATGTGTTCCAAATTCTTCTACAGGTACTTCTTTTGATTACGCAGGCAACAATTTTCATTGTTAAAAACAAAACATAGACAGAATGCCCTGATTTATGAAAACATACCAATTCCCATCCATACAAGGTGGATTCAATATAAGGTATATTCACGGAAAATTACTGACTTCGGATAGTGAATTCCGAATAAATACTGCCGGATACACTTTGTGCATTCTATTTTCAAGATTTTGAACCGTGATGGTTGAAGATTTAACCAAATAAGTTTGAACCAACATCTAGATGCATTTCTTGCCTTGTTTGAAAGCTTAAGATCGTATCATTTGTGGATATTTAATAATACTCAACCTGATACTTCGATTGAGAAATACCAACGATAAGGAATATAAAATGCAGTTTATTTTTATCCAGCATATTATGTAATACCCACACAAACCAGTTAGATTTATGTCAGTAAAACATTATGAGTGCTTATATTTTCCAAGAAATTCTAATCTTATCAGCCAACAACATTGTGCATAATATATCCATACTGTATTTCGATTTTTCACAAAACAGGTGGGACTATCGCCGAATGGAATATTGTCTATGTCGTATCTTATCTAGACCATAAAGGTGACACATTTATAATATCGTTAGTTTCATTCGCGAAAATTGTTGGTGTCGATGTTTGGAATCTCTTGTAGAATAAAATGAGATCTCTGGTGGAATTTTTTTATCATTTTTATTTTATTATCTATTGAGTTATCAGTAAGTCACGGGAGATTTTTTTATGCAACGTTTCTTACAAAGTTATGTCTTTAAATGAGATTTTGGTGACTGGAATGATGGGAGTGGTCTAGCTTTGCAATTGGAATCGTTATACAAGGTGAACTATTTTTTGTACACACACATTTGGCAATAAACAAAAAATAACAAAGAATTGTTTAAGGATGTTTCCATATCAAGATTTTTTAACTATAAAATTGGTCCTACATATATGTTTTTCATTTGAAGCTTATAGCAATTTTTCTATATTAAATGGCAGCCACATATACATATGAGTATTTTCATTTTTTTCTGTGATCGAGAAGTGGTAAAACTTGCCTTATATACTGAGTGACAAAAAAGGTAAACACCTACGTATGTTTATCCGATTTTAATAATTTTTGGCATATAGATTTGTCATACCATGAACAAGTGACAAAATGATCAGGTCTCAGACCAGAATCGAAACTATGGATTCCAATGGCTAAAAGGAACGATTTAGCCAAGTACCGCCTGTTGCGATACATGGTTACCACTTATCTCACGTTTTTCCTACTTTGCAGAAATTTATTTCGCCTCTACGTGATTTAGATACAATTGTAGGTACAGAGAAATCCAAATATCAATGACGAAGTAATGTGTACGAGGGAGAAGCGGCGAGAAGCGTGCAATACGTGTGTTAGAAAGAGTGCGCCGATGGCAACGCGGAAAGCCGCAGCTGCTTCTATCTCTTTCTAACTGCATGCTTCTCTCATACGACGGTAGTGGTAAATGGATTTCTCTGTATATCTCTTCAATGCGCCAATCATCAGCAAGTAACGACTGTTGCGACACATGGTTGCCACTTGTCCCAAGTTTGCCCTTACATGCAGAAATTCGCTATTTTGTCCTTACATATATTTGATACAATTATCTATCTTTTCAGTACGCAAATCAACAACAGCAACAGCAAAGGGTACCAACGGCCACATCTCCATCGAACGCGAGCAGTTCGAGCAGCCACACAGGCTGTGGGGGCGGCAGTGGTGGAGGCATGCCCTCAGGGATTAACGCAAACACGGGCGCAGGAGGTGGCCAGGGAGGGGGTAATGCACCCCCTTCTAGCAACTCGTCCAGTGGAGGCGGCTCAGAGCAGTTGTCTAAGACCAACCTGTACATCCGAGGGCTGAACCCGGGTACCACCGATAAGGATTTAGTGAATATGTGCCAACAGTAAGTGTCTTTTCACTTCCTACGCCACTCGCGAGGAATAATTATTATCACAAAAAATGTCGATAATGAGATATATTTTTATATACATATCATATAACAACTACGAGTACATACATCACGCAAAACATTACCACATTTCCCTCGGTCTGACCGCAAACTTTGGCTCGGCTTTTTACACACGATTACTACTATTCCAAGGACGAAAATGCTTTTGGAAAACAGGAACAAGATAAAAATCACCCAAACCCCTTTACTTCCTATGCCAAAACTGGCGAGGAAGTATTGTAATCGCAAAAATTTCGAAATTGAGATATCACATCACAAAAAACCATGTCACTAATTTCCATCGGTCTGTCTGTCTCTGTTTGTCGGTCTGTCCGCTAATTTAATAACCGCCTATAACTTGAGAAGTACCGCTCAAGGTTACCACTGTGCCAAGGATAAAAAAGCTTTGTAGTTTTTGAAAAACACAAAAAAATAAAAATCGTTTTAATCTAGTTTTTTGACGTTGCAGAGGCTCCTGATTATTTTCGGAATTTTTTTTGTAGTAGTTGAAACTTGGGGATCGAGGTTGCATGGGGTTGTTGATTGTAAATGTAACAACTGAAAAATTAATTAATAAAAGTCTGGTGTATAATGTGCTCATAATTTGAAATAACTGCAATCTGCATAGTCTTCTAGGTCACATATATTTATATATTTTAGCAGCAATATTGGGATATTATCGTAGAACGTACCACTTTAGCGTGCTGCGATGCTTTTGTAAATGATGACTTAACTGTATTTGTATGTGCACATATGGTTTTCTCAATTTTATGATCCTTAGATGTACTACCAATTTCGCACAACCTTTAATTTGTGTTACTTCGTCTATGGTCGATGGTTCTCTGAATATGTCGTCAAGTAGCTGGAACATGGTGTTACAAAGTTTGAGAGATTCATGCTCACTTTCAGACATTGTTTGGAGGGGATGAAAATTGTAGGTTAGAAGCTGTATACTGTAAATGGTTGTAAGTTGTTACATATTTGGTGTCAGTGAAAGACCTTCTATTATTGGAAGCTGCTAATCTCAGTGATACTATGAACCCGTTAGACATAATAAGTTGGAAATGCAGAGTCAACGTACTTGACGCCATTTTTATAATGGAGATTTATGAAGAAATGTTATGTTTATGCTCTGCCACGTTCTGCGAAAGAGCGAATATCTCATATTATATGCTTAGATAAAATTTTACGTTTGACAGTAATGGTTCTTTTGAGCGAATTAGGAGGATTCGAAAATACTAAAAAATTATATTTTATATTCTAATGATTTTTTGTTTGTTTTCAGATTTGGCACAATAATCTCCACCAAAGCAATTCTAGATAAAAATACGAATAAATGCAAAGGTGAGTTTCACTTTCTATATCTCTATAAGAAGTATGATTCTACATAATGACAATAAATGTGAAGTAAACTGTGCCAAGGATAAACAGAATATTGCTGGTCATATGACAATTTCTTTCTGTTAATAATTAATCAACTAGTTTTGATCGTGTAACGCCCATAAAAATATATAAGCTTTTTTATGCTATTTGAATGCTTGTTAATATTTTGTATTCTAAAGTGACTTTCAAAGTAGCTCATATCACGTTATTAACAATAAAAGAACAATCCTTCAAGGTAAACAAGCCCAAAATGTTCTTCGGGCTCATGTAGGGAAAATTTTTAACTTTAAACACTTTGCAACCTCAAAAATAATAAATTCCAAGAGTTACCGCCAAATGGAACCATAATAATTAACCAAGATTTTGTGCATCAAGAATCGCCAATTTTTATGGCTCTTCAGGCTTTACATCGCTTATAACTCGACAGCGGGCAATTTTAGAGAAAAGTTAATTCATCAGAAAAACCTAAACAAATCCTTCTCCCACGAATGCTAGGTTGCCGCTTCGTCGGTTCGCTGGTTGCGCGATGTTAGCGTCACCCAGCGGAAAATAAACATTTTTCAGTCTATTTGAGGTTAGGAACAATTTGAACGTCGAACCAGATGATTATCTGTTGCATGCGCAGAGTATCTGAGGTAGTCATGTGTCGTTCGTGAACGACTCTTATAAGTGAGCGATGATTGAACGACTCTTGTTAGTATTGACTCGTTCAGTTGTTCCAAGCATGTCTGCAGCGTGCAGCTACTAACAACGTGGTAACTGTTCGCACACTGTCTACGGAATCAGGTCCTTTTGTTTTGAGATGCCTCATTAAGTCATGCGTTGATTCTCCCCGAAATGAGAGCAAAAATTGCGTTTTGCTCTAGAATTCGGGAATTCCTCAAAAGCGGAACACTCATCGCTTCTTTGTTGGAGGAAATGATACATACCTCACATTCAATTTCAACCAAAATATTAATACTAAAATAAATACAATAACACAGGCAATCTTGACTCTTCATTTCATTTTAATAGTATGACGTATAATTCTCCTCCGAGTCAGTTAGTCGTTACATTAGGCAACACAATGCTCTCGCTAGCTTCGAGGACGGTCGGTAGTCGTATCGTTCAAACGATCGACTACGAACGAACGACTCGTACTGAAGAAAAACGAATGAAGTGAGCGAGCTAAGTAAAAAGAGTCGCATGAGTAATCTGAGCTTAGAGTACAAGATCCGGCCGCTTGAATCTGCAGGTATCTGATTTTTTATAAAACTTAATTTTTATGAACGAAACATGATAATAGAACAAATTACAGTAGGGTTGCCTATTTTACTATTTATTATCATTCATAAAAATTAAGTTTTATCAAAAACAGATTAGACTATTAGCAATGAGTTCATACTTATATATAATTCAATGTGTTCATACGACGGATCTGTCAAAGCACAGCGTTGCCAGATGGGTCGTTACGAATTTCCCAGAACAAGCACAAAGATGCCTACAGAATTGCTATAATTAAAAAAAAATACCCCAAATCACAGTTATTTAATGGAGAGCTGTATGTTTAGCTCAAAGAGCTAGGGGTGCTTTCTGTCCACGAAACGTGTGATTTCCCCCAGAAGATAACATCCATCAAGTGAAAATCTTCCAAATGTGGGGGAAAATTCCCAAACATGGCAAGCTTGTCATCCCTGTCATTTTACCACTGGTACTCCAGGCGTCAAGTTTTGTTGCGGTCATTTTTACAGCACGAATGGTATTGCCGTAGGCTCTCCTGATATGTAGGTTCCATAATCTTTTTACTGACAAATTATATAGCGAAATAGTTGCACCTTTGAAAGGTATCCGTTTACTTCACATGGCACAAATTTCACCATAGAGACCACGCCTATATTGCTTTATCAGTCCGATCATGACTCCCTTTTTGTCCAAGCGAGCACAGTGATCGATTCCCCCCCCCCCTCGCGCTATGCACTTCACTTCTGACGGATAGTATTAATGATTTATGATTTAGTTTTGCAATGAAATTGAGTATTATCGGTATCAAATTGTGTTGATTATGTTTCAGGCTATGGATTTGTAGATTTTGAAAGCCCGGCGGCAGCGGAAGGTGCAGTGAAGGCCCTAACTGCAAAAAACATTCAGGCGCAAATGGCGAAAGTGGGTATTTGGTATCACCAACGTAGACAAGCCACTGTACGTTTGCATGCAAGTAATACCTAGCTTTACCTTCCGTGTCAAGTCACAGGATTTTTCTAATTATCAGCTTTTAATATTTATCTGTGAATATTATGATGCAGTGTTCATACCAAATTTTTATTCATTTATGTGGAGGATCTTCCTATAGATAGATGATTCATCTGCAAAAGCTTTTGTTCCGAGATTTAGTTTTTTTTTAAATTCCAACCTATCGATATGCCCAATAAAAGCGACTTTAAACAAAAAAAGAAGGTTAAACCCAATAGTACACGTCAAGCCGGAAACGAGGGATACGCCAAGTCATAATAGTAATCAAAAACATAGAAAAAAATCCAAGTTATGTACTTTTCAAATTATAAGCTTTAAAAAAAATCTGAAAAATCTACACCCTGTGATGATCTTTTTAGTTCGCTTACTACAAATTTCAGTTTTCTTATAACCGGTTGTCACGATACAAAATTTTGTTTACAATTCGGTATCAAATGCTTTACTGAATTTAGGGCCGTATCGTCAGTCATCAATTGTAGGACGCCTTTATGGCCTCCTTGATATTTATAGTTTTCTACTTTTCCGTGTCAGCCTGAAATTTCCTACAATTCAAAAAGAAAACATAATTTCACAATAGGAGAGCGATGACGCTGACACGGAACAGGTGCAATATAGAAATTTTTGAAGGAAAGAAAGGACTATGACAATCAAGCAGGCCATCAAGGCGTCCTACAATTGTAGGAACGACTGACGATACGGTGCTTAGTTCCCAATTTGTTTGCCATTTGCAACCCGAGTGTCACGTAAAGAAATTTTTGTAATATATTTTGTACGAAATCATGCGCAGTCAAAAGCATCAAGAAGTTAACACAAAACATGTATTGTAATTCCTTGTCAGGTAGCACTTCCTGTAGTCATTCTACTGTATTATTTAGAGCAGCTCCTAGAACATTTAGCACTGGATTTGTTCATACAAAATTATGTTCTGAATGTTGAATCCTTAATTTTGTACGAAATTTGGCGAACTAAGTTCAGCATAATTCGTTGCGTGACAGACGGCCTTTAGACAGAATGACGGACAGTGTCATTCTACGTAGTGACAGCAAGGCAGATAGTATCGCCACTTTTATTAATTCGTGAATGCATTGTTTCATCAGCAATGTAAGTTTGACATCTTAAAAATGATCGGGTTATCGGACTAGCGAATCTTCCGTTATTAACAAATTCAGCTGCTTTCGTTATTCTGCCCCGTAGCTCAGCTAAATTTTTCACATGCTTACTTTTACTAAACATCGCGGATCTTCTCGGTATCTCTGTAACATTGTTTGACAAAACCCGACTCTTGGAAGAGGGGTTGTAAAGATTGTACTCGCTGTACTCGGTACGGGTATAGCTCGTTCTTTCGCAAGATTCGGTGGGCTGTACTTTTGACATACTGAAGTACTCCGATCTTCTTCGACTGTTTGTAGTACGACGTCCTCGTAAGGAAAGGAAATTCTTCTTTCACCATGTGCTTGATCTGGGAACCGTCCCTCTGAGAGTAAACGGTGCACATTTACAAGAACTCAGTGATAGGGTTGACGAGCAGTATTTAGGTACCTCTACTACTGCTACGTTACTATCTGTCCTGCTGTCACTGCATGGAATGACACTGTCCGACACTCCATCTAAGAAAAAAATGAAATTTGTTGGTTTGGTCTTCACAGGGTGTAGATTTGATATTTCCGATTTTTTTCAAGTTCTATAATTTGAAAAGTACTCGACTTTGATTTTTTTTATATTTTTCGGATAACTATTATGACTTCTCCGGCTTGACATCGACTTCTGGGACATCCTGTATATTAGATTTCCATCTCTATGACAATGACCAACCGTATATGATTGTTATATGCTTGTTAGTGATCATCAGTAATGTATATGTGTATATGGAGAGAGACAACAGAAAGCTAACAAGAGCCAGGAGGTTATCATCATGGAGTGATGATTCACAGATGTTTTGAGTCAGTAGACTTTATCTCTATATCGTACATGTATTTCGATATTTATTATTGCAATCCAAAATTATATCTTATGATCCATTGCCTTTGAAAATTTTCCGTTTTAAATTATTCTTGTAGGTATATGATCCTGTGACATGGCGTATATAAACAAAAAAATAACAAATTCAAATCTAGTGGTAAAGTGCTAATTTTAACTTGAAACCTGCCTCGTTAAATGTATATGCAGAAAGAGACAGCACACTAGACTTGACTTTAGTTAACCTATATTTACTAGTAGTTTAGTACCTGTTATGTGCTATGCATAGATGCATGATATATTTATTATTTCTAAACACTCAGCGGTTATCCTATGATAGTTCGGTCATTTTAGTAGCTTGTTGGGAATAATATTTGAGCTAGTTGAGCTGGATTAGTATTAATGAATTTTATACGCGCTTTGCTACGTAATTCGCACGTTACGATTTTCAAAATGGCATTTGTGTGTTTCACACATCAATAACGTTTTACGATGTCCGTAACACAGAAATATATTACTTAAGTGTATTAGGTTATCCAGTCATCACTGCAACGTATTGATAAAATCCCGGCATTTTTTTTACTTCCCACGCCGCTGGCGTTAAATATTGTAATCACTAAAAATTTCGAAAATGAGATATGATTTTTGGATATTATATGACCATTACGCAAAACCATGTAACTCATTTCTGCCGGTCTGTCTGTCCTTGGCCCGTCTATAACTTGGAAAGTACCGCTCTGATTTTGATCATATTTTCATGCAAGGTTACTACTATGCCAATGATGAAAAACAGTGGCGACCGAATTAGGGGCAAACGAAAAAATAAAGACGCTTATTTCTTTCTCCCGCTGATTTTTTGAAAAGCTTTTGACGGTTAGAAAATTGGGAGGTGAGGGTTGTAGGGGGTAAAAGAGGGTGGTGCATCTCAATTTTTGAGTGGTAAAAAATTGGGAGGTGGCGGTTTTGGGGGGTGGGAAAGTTTGTATATTTATGTACTTCTAACTCCGGTAATTCTACGCAGCTATCAGACCTATTTCTGTAGTCGCTGCCACTGCCCTGGTAACTCAGTGGATGTTGTTTCGGTGGAATGGGACTTCGCCATTGCGATAGCAGCGGTACCACTACTCAAATGACCCGAACGGTTCAGTACGAACAGTGGACCAGATCGGTTCAGTACGAAACTTGGTTTCATCATATCATTAATTTTACTTGATCTATTTCTATGTCAAGACTATTTCATGAGTTCATACTAACCAGTTATAAATAGCTTTCATATTATTCTTAAAGTTGTACTATTGAGACAGAACTATAGAATAATTAATCTGGAACAAAAATAAATGACAGCCGTTTAGAACCCTGTTGGCAACTTAGAATGTATATGGCACTGGGCACTATTATCCATAGTTTCCCTATTAGCTAGGTTTAGTTTCTTTTATGTTTATTTTATATCTTGAAGCACGCTGAAATTTAAACACGATAGCTATAAATTTCAAACCTAGACATTGTTTCTGTTGGACGTCACTGAAGCTCACAGGCTCAAAATTATAGAGGTCTGAGAAATCGTACAGTCGCGCTGAATTAGATATTAGGAAACCACTCACCCGCTTTGATTCACATTTATCAGTAATTCTGAGGTCTCTTCATTGTAAACTTATTTCCTTAAATCATTTCCTCGTAGACTCCTGAAAATTGGCCTTATACATGTTGGACATTAGTAAAAATGATTTTAATACCGCCCTGGACGAATTATCTAAAGCATTTTTTACGAATATCCATTAAGCCAAACGTGCCAGCAAATAACAGCTGATTACCTAGTAACATTTCAAAATATTCCATATGGGCAAGTGGCACACGTGGCACGAAGGCTAGAGTTAGGAGGTTAAACTGCGTATTCATATGAAGCCAATCCTGATGCCAAGAATGGTCTGCGCATTGAAAAATGTCAACATATCCTGCCGCAATCTTTTGCCATGAGTTTAAGCTCCTATCTCTAGTCTTCATGATCTGTAGACATGATTTTAGTGTTTTGTGCGCTATGGATTCTCATACTTCTTAACAACGCTTTTATTTAGAAATGTTCCTTCACACACAAGAAAAAATGCTAGAAGCAGAATAGCTGATAATAATCATGACTATGTTTCAAGTCAAGTATGAATAAAACAGGATAAATAGTTTTTGACTATTGTTGGTGTATACAGCTTTGAAGGCGGAAGTTTTACCCGATTCACACCCCATTCGTTATTGCCAACACCACAGGCTTTAATACAAAGATGTCACTTGCTCATCTTCTGTACACGACAAAGCGTAATGGACACTCGTGAAAAAGACCATACTCTAAATGTTGGGACGAGGATAATAAATTCCTCTGAAGTTGACTACTCGGGTATTGTGAAAGTTCTTTTCAATTGATTATTTGCAAGCATAAGAGAAATTAACTAGCTAAACTCTCCTAATAACAGGCATTTGCATGATGTACAAAAAAGGATATAAAAAAGAATTGCATTTGTATATTTCAAATAATTGGAACTATGGCACTACCCCCCAACTAACAATGTATAATAATGAAATGTTATTTATGTATAACACATTGGTGTACATGTTTCAAAGGAAATATTAATTTTTTAATCGGATATGAAAGCAATATTTGCTTTGAAACGTATTTCTATCTTTGTGTGTTGGCTATGTATAGGGTTATTTTTTATTTGAAAGGTTTATTAGGAATATCAAAAGTGATGCAAAAAATTTGTTAATGTTAATTTGCTGGTTTGGATTCAAGCAGGAACCCATATTTAGTTCATATATAAATAAATATCCCTATACATAATAAGAACGTTGAATATTATATTGCCTTTTCGTGTTTACGCAGAAATTCGCCGTAAAAAAGTAAAACTAGAGAACAGAATGTGACATTCATTAAAATTACTCATGTTAGATTTTATTAAAAAGACAGTTATTTTTGTGTTTAGTGCATTTTAACAAAAGCTATCTAAATATATATATAACTCTAGCTCAGACGTGGTTCAATGTCTTATAGGGCAGTGTAATATCTTTCAGATTATATAGCCATAACTCTGTTTCAATGAATGGTCTCAGAAATATTGTCATTTTCAAAAATGTCATTGCATTTTTATCTATTCTCGATATACTGAAATTTTTCAAATATTGATACTCATACTGTTTCCATTTAAAAGAAGCTTTCATCTATTTTAATTTTCCAAGAATTTTTGTCTGAGATTCCATTCTGCTGAACAATCTGAGACAGCTTGAAATACGGTGCAAAAATAAAGGTTACTTATTAAGATACTGTGCAGTGGCTATATGATTGCATACGATATTTTTAAATACATTTTTTTGTTGTGTTTTTAAGTCCATTAAATCTTACAAGATTCTGTTTGTCAACAGCAACAGGAACAAGATCCGACGAATTTGTACATAGCAAATTTACCACCAAATTTCAAGGAGGCTGATTTAGATAGTATGCTATCAAAATATGGGCAGGTAAGTCATTTGTTTTTTCAATGGGTCATAATTCAAGGGGTGGTCCTTTGATCTACCTTTGAGACTAGTGTTAAGAAGGATCATTTTATTGATTATGATATACCTTTTCTTTAATTATGTCTATAGAAAAGTCATAATAGGCATTCCACAAGCGTGCATGATATTTGTATGGATCCTCCAAGGTCTGTAGGCATTGATTACAATATTGCACCATAATATACCCAATCCAATCGAAAGCCGTGCCTGTGCACAAATAAGCATACGTGGCGCTAGCATGTGTAGACCACTGTTGGACTGTTGTAAAAATGAAAAATATTCAAAGGTTTAGTATGAATTATTTTCAACGCCACCGGCCTATTCGAAGAAAAGAAGTGCATTTATTGAAATACTATTCAAATTTATTATTATTTATATTTTTGTCTTTTAAGGAATTTTTGTCAGATCACTCGTTTTGGAGATGTAGATAGGTTTGAATATTTGAGGTAAAGTCCTAAAATATTCTTTTGGAAACACCGAGAAGCTTGGCTGGCATATTAATTTTTGTTTATAGCTAAACTCCAAATAAAACAAAGCTAATAAGAATTATATACGACAACAATAAACTTTACATTTGATACTACTTACGTGGTTATTTCTAAATTTATGAGGATATAATATTGGGAACAAAGTATAATGTAAATGCTATTCAACCTAAAAGAGGTGTTGAAAGAGACCTCCTCTGGATTCAGCACAAGCCCTAGCGCAACGCCACAAAAGCTCTCGGAAAATACGTGGCGTAGTACCGAACAGTGTTGAAAGCCTTCTGTATACTTCGTCTTCATACTTCGTGTCCGAGGTTGCTAACGATTTGTGATATCTTCTTTGTACAGGCCACCTAATCCGAGATGCTAAAGTATCTTGAGGAAAAAAGGCCGATAATTTCAGATGTAAAATAATAAGAATTTTGTTCTAATTGATTGGTTTCACAATAATTACCAGTTGTGAAAATCAGTGGCTTAATGAATGGTAAGCTTCTACGCTATTGATTGAGGATAAGACTCGCATATGATTCAATTTACGGTGTTTTCGGAATAAATGAATCTAACCCTTTTCATAAATTGCTTTCACTACAAGTGATGGTCAATGAATTCATCCAAGCAGGATTATCTATCTGGCATAACCGCATCTACAAATCTCCCACCAAATAAGACCGGCACGGGTATTACGTATTTCGAAAAGTGTCATTTTGTCAGTTTTTTACATTTCGTAGCTTTTTTGTGACATAACATAGGTTTTTCTAAAATATTTTAACTTAGCACAAGCTTTTGTACACTTGTTGTGAACTCGTTTTGTAGCTGTATGTGTTGCTTACACGTCAGCGAACATAGCGAGCAAATGTGGTATTTACTATTTGATTTGCACACTAAAAACTGCCTAGACTGCAAGATGACATTCCTTCGATTTTTGTTATGGCGTTTTATAGATTTTTTACATAATACCCCTGCCGCACGTGTTTAGCTGACATCAGCTATTTTGTGGACACCATGTTTTTGTATACATCTCTTATCTCTTTAGTCTTGCGCTCTGTAACTCCCGATTTTCCTACTATCTCATAGTTTGTGAACATGTAATATCCTAATCCTTTTTCCTTTTTTTCTAGGTGATTTCCACGCGCATCCTGCGCGACTCATCTGGCGTGTCGAAAGGCGTCGGCTTCGCGCGCATGGAAAGCAAAGAGAAATGCGAATATATCATCCAGCAGTTCAACGGCAAAGCTTTGAACGGTTCCAAGGACCCTCTGTTGGTGAAATTCGCTGACGGGGGCAACAAGAAAAAGAACCTTTATAAGAGCAACGACAATGCGAAGATGTGGCGCGAGAGCAGTGATGGGATTGCTGCAGTGGCGTACGATCCTGCTGCGTTGGCGCCCAATGGGGTGGCAGGGCAGCCTATGATGCCAGCGTTGGCCAATTACAGGACATTCAGTCAGGTAGGTTGCTTTTCACTTTCCATGCCTACTGGATATTGTGTCTTTTGGATGTTATACCTGTATAACATGTAAACCACTCATTTCCGTCAGTTTGTTTATCTACCTGTCCGCTAATCCTTGACTCCGCTATAACTTGAAAAGCACCAATCAGATTTTCAGGAAATTTTCATATAAGGTTGTTACTATTTCCAAGGGCGCAAATGCTCTGTAGTTTTTGAAAATTGGTCCAGTGGCGGCGGATCTAGAAGCAAAAACACGAAAAAAATGAAAATCGATTAAACTACGTTTTTTGATTGACGATTCAGAAGCTCCTGATCATTTACAGAAAAAAAATTGTAGGGGTTAAATTGTTGGGAATTATAAGAGGTAGGGGACGATATATCTCAAATTTTGATATTAGTACAATTATATGCTTCTAAGAGTCACATTCATAGATCTGCCTTGAGGCTTCCTTGGAAACAGTGAAACCTTCAAGTGAGGATTCAAAAATTTTCATTCCACAGTAGGCTGTAACAGTTGTCATCAAAAGCTGTGATTGATGCCAGAAAGATTTTTCTGTGATGGCCGTATATATTTTGGTGATAAGAACTGGAACGATTTGTTTTATTTGTGCTAAATATCAATAAACCTTGCAAAACAATAATGTGTTTGATTCCTCGAATTACAAGCACAATCACAGAGAAGTAAAAAACTGAATATAGGCAACTAGTTGCACCGAACTACTCTACTGGGAGCAGATTGTAGATTACGTGACTCGATTCAACTACTACATTTCAGAAAAAAAATAATTTTATGTCCGACTTTTATATTTTAAATTGTAATGTGTTACTATGGAAAAAAGTTTATCGAGGAGAAGGTGCATTTGATCGAGATAGGAGACAAATGTAAAGGGGTCATTGAAAATAAAAGCAGATAGCAGCAGAGCAGTTCGGTTCAACTGGTTGCCTATATTCAGTTTTTTTACTTCTCTGTGATTGCGTTGTAATTGGAGGAAACAGACATTATTATTTTCATTGTTTATTGATATCCGAGGGGGTACCCCAAAAAAAACGGAATTATTTTTTAAAAGCTATTTTTTTATTTTCAACTTTTTCACAAAGCAATCTTATTTCCTGCAAAATACACACAACCAATACACTTGTCCCACCGGTGCTTCCACTGCTCGAAATATTTTTTGAAGTCTTCCTTTCAAATGTCTGACAGCTCCTCCCTCATTTTTTTCTTGACCTCTTCAATGTCGTCAAAGCGCCCCATTGCATCCGTGGAAATAAGAAAGAGCCGCACGGAGCCAGGCGAATAAGGTGCGTGAGGCAGCGGCACTATGCCATTTTTAGCCAGAAACTGTCGAACAGAAATGGCTGTGTGCGCAGGTGCATTATCATGCTGAAAGGACCAGTATCCTGACTGCCACAGATCGGTTTTTTTTTTCGTTCGAATTTTTTCAACATTTTTGTCGATTCGGGCAGTTGATGGACGCCCAGAGCGAGGTTTCACAGCTGTACTTTGCTCACTGAAAGTTGCCTTTGTAAAAAACGAAACAAGCACGAAACATCTCTAGCAAAAATAACTAGAGATGAACGAAACAAGCCAGATCGACAACTCAGGTGGCACTGAACTGGTAATGAGTTGCGTTGTGCGTCTCTGGGGGCAGAAATGTCTCCTACAGAAGCTCCGCCCACTGCAATACCAACTAACAATTATCACTCCTATTGGAGTTGCAAGAACGATTATACAGTCTTCCTTACACAGCATTGTATGCTGTAAGAGCATTGGCAAAACGCTCTTAGAACAGCTATACAAGCAGAATGGGCACACCTAACAGGACACTTCAGTCATTTAAGAGATTGTATAAGGGCTGCAGGTAACAATTATACAACAAAGGTGTAGACCTCTTGCAGCCGCTATAGAACATTTGCGTCAGTGCAAGATTCATCAGTTTTTGCCAACTATACAACTATTCTGTTACATGATTCTACTTTATTGCAACCAAACTATTTCTTTGTATTGTATAGTCGAAGTGAATAATATATAACTAATACATTACAGTCATCTTGCTTACTTCAATATCGGCCATTGTGAATTTCATATGATAAACTTCTACAATGTGATATAGGGCTATTGAATTACTTGCGCAGCAAATTTTATTGTGATTATCGTGCAAAGTAAAAATAGTTACGCAATTTGTACGGGCTTCGTATTTGATTAATATTTTAATAATGATCAAAAGTATGTTTAGATTATTACGATGAAAAACTGAACTTATCTGCGTTAAATCTTCCACAAATCCTATATTTAGACACACGGGTATTTATGAATATGCTGCCGGTCCTTACGAGTCTTCTCACGTATAGTCGATATGTGTTCGGTAGATTTGTGCGAATTTTTTCGTAGATTTCGCACGACATTAAACCAAAAAACAAAAGCTTTCCGGTGATTGAAAATTGAATAGATCGCACCTTGCTTGAACTGCACTCGGTTTTGAAAAATGAAGAGCCAAAGGGGGGGCAGCATCAAATGCTGAAATGCTATTTTGAAAATTGAAGAGAAATCGCAGATGTTTTACATCTCCAGGTCAAACTTTGTGTCTTATGTTATTTTTTCACAAGACAAACAACATGGTTCCGTTCCAATGTCCAAGTACTATTTGTATTTCTCGCATTTCAGGTCCATAAATAATGTACATGCAGAATTTTAATTGAAGATTGCATAACAATTAACCAGGGTGTTACAACAACAATTCTGGGTGGGTTTTTGCGTTTTCACGGGACTTTTGACGTTTTGGTTGATGGACAAAGGTGACGTGCCTGGAACATAAAAAAAACACAGATTACCTTGTCACTTTAGACTGGACTGGACGTCTCTTTGAGAACGGGAATCCCTACCTCAGGCGGTCCTGGGCTTTGCTGGCTTTGCGCAATCTCAGCATGTTGCAGGACTACTGTAGCAACACATTGTACAGGAATGTGAAAATAAAAAGAAAAACAAACGAAATTTCACCTGGAAGGCAGATAAATAAAATATATTGTCAAAAAGTGTCATCTGTTTTTGGTCACCGTTGGAACCGAAACGTCTTTCAGTAAAGAGGAATTTCAAACATACAGTAATGGACAAAAGTGTATAGACCAATATGAATATTTACCTAAATACCTTTAGAAAACGAATTCATACTTCATTGCTCCAGAAACAAATGCGTTATTAGTAGAAAAACTAAATCCCTTGTATTTACATTATCTGCAATGAACACAAGTTTGAGTATAAGCAATTTTTTATGAGGGACAAAAATATGTAGACAAATTCTTTTCAACATTAGTTTAGTACAGTTTCGTGTCAGAAGAGGATTAGTTTGTGTTCATCAAGTATTGTGGAATAAGTTGATTGATTTTAAGACCATGCCGCGTGGTCCAGAAATTTCTTTCGATGTGAAAACTAAGATCATTGAGTTATACAGGGTTCGGCAATGAAACGGGAAGACTTCGTAAATAATTTTATTATTGAAAAAATATTTTTTTTGTAATTAGTAATACCATACTGGGAAATAAAAAAGAAGCCATTTGATATACAATGTTAAAAAACATTATTTTTTGAAAATTACATCTGTCAAATGGCCTCCGTTGACACGTATGCATTCATGGAGTCGAGCCTGGAAGTTCTGCATAACTCTTCGCCTCATATCAACAGGTCTTGCTGCAATCTCGTCACGAATTCGTTGTTTGAGGGCCGGGATTGTCCTGGGTGGATCAGTTTCAAACACTTTCATTTTCAGATAACCCCATAAAAAGGAGTCGCAGACAGTAAGGTCGGGAGACCGAGGGGGCCAAGCAATATCCCCGTTTCGAGAAACGACACGCCCTGGGAACAAAGCATTCACCGCATTCATCGAAATTCTTGCAGTGTGGCTTGTTGCACCGTCTTGTTGAAAAAGTGTGTGTTCATTAACTGGAAAGCGGTAGAGTTCAGGTGTGAGGAAGTTCCGAATCATTACGTATCAAACGTATCTCTCAGAATTAACGGTAACGGCATTTTCAGCCTCATCCTCAAAAAAATACGGACCGATGATTCCATTTGCAGACGTTGCACACCATACTGTCACTTTCTGAGCATGAAGAGGTGATTCATGAAGCATACGAGGGTTAGCCTCCGCCCAGTATCTAAAATTTTGTCTGTTAACAAAACCGGAGAGGTGAAAATGTGCCTCATCGCTCATCCACAAGTTGTTAACCTGGTCATCAATTTCTTCCAGCCTTGCAAGCATAACCTCACAAAATCTGAGACGCTGTTGATAATCATCCGGGTGAAGAGATGGAACAACCTGTATTTTATACGGGTGATATCGAAGATCTTGATGGAGAATCCTTCTCACCGATCTGTCACTTAATCGAAGGCGTGTGGCGTGACGGATGGCCGATCGACGTGGACTTCTTAAAATGGCTTGTCGAACACGTTCAATATTTTCAGGGGTTCGAATCGTTCTGGCACTACCACCTCTTTCTCTAGACGTCGATCCAGTTTGCTCGAGGACGCGTTTGCACTAAACTCTCGCCATTTTGGTAATAAGCCTTAATTGCGTAACCGCGATGCTCACCCGTCCAACGCTCCATTGTAGACTAAATGGCAAGCCACTCGGGTCCCGACAGGTCTGTGACTGTCCTCCCTACCACTTCACCGCCCGCTGCAAGCCCCACCTCAAATCTTCCTGTTTCATTGCCGGACCCTGTACAAAGATGGTCAACGTCCAGTCGGCATTGCTAAAAATTTGAAGCTGAAGCGTAAAGCAGTTTGAGCAATATTGAACAAATATAAACAAAAAGGTATCTTGGAAGCCTTTAAGAGAAGTGGTTGGCCAAGAAAACTAAATGCTAGATCAGTTAGATTACTAAAAGTAATTTCGTCCAAAGATCCGTTTAAAACCCCAAGACAAATAAAAGCCGAAATCGAGACAAAAGGAATTGTCAGTGTTTCTACAGAAACTATAAGTAGAAGAGTAAATGATTTGAAGTTAGTTGCACGTCGCCCGAGTAAGAAGCCGCTAATCTCGAGGAAAAACCGTAATGACCGATTACAATTTGCACGGTTGTATCTTGATTGGAGCATCTGTGACTGGAAGCGGGTATGTTTCAGTGACGAATCCAAGTTCAATATGTTTGGATCAGCTGGTGTTCATTACGTTAGACGTCCTAGTGGACAAAGATTGAACCCCAAGTACACTTTGCCCACTGTCAAACATGGAGGCGGGTCTGTTATGGTTTAGGGGTGCTTTTCGGGGTTTGGGATGGGACCTTTACATAGGCATGGCATTATGGATAAGTTTGTATACACAGACATACTAAAGCATGTCATGTTACCTATATGGAAGACAATATGCCCTTAAGATCAATCTTCCAGCAAGATAATGACCCGAAGCACACTTCAAATCTCGCAAAGAAATTCTTTCTGGATGAAAAAATACCAGTTCTCAAATCGCATTGAAAATCTATGGGAATACTTAGATTAGCAAATACGAGATAAAAATTATTCAAACGGGGATGAACTTTTTGCCGCTTTAGAGCAAAACTGGAGACAGATTGGTGAATCTTATATCAAGAAACCTCTACAATCTATGCCGAGACGATGCCAGGCGGTGATTGATAATAATGGTTATGCTTTAAAATATTAACACAAACATGGTTGGTTTTCTACAATTCAATGAACTTTGCTTCTTTTTTCTATAATTGTTTGGCTTTGTCTATATATTTTTGTCCTTCATAGTTCCATTTTTTTGTATACAGGTTGGTGTATTAATAAAACAAGTTAAAAAAGAAATACAGCACAATATTAATTTGTCTATATACTTTTGTCCATTACTGTATGTGGTTCGATTGGACAGACAAACATGGGGGATTATCAGATATATACTACTTAAGAATTTGTGAAACTTTTCGGTAGAAAAATCGGTAGACCTGGTAACACCGTGCGGACCAGTGCAACAACTCTCGCTTGCCAGACTCGAGAACACCCACCCTGGGCTGACATTATATCTTGTTTTTTCAGTTCCCGTCGTACCCAGGAACTCAGTGGCCTGTTCAATACCTAATGGCCCCTCCGATTCAGCAAGTGGACGACAGCTACAACCTGTCTGGCCACATGGCCGCCGCCCAATATAAGAGTGACGGACAAGCCACGAGGAGTATTCCGCTTATGATGCCTTCTACAGAAGCTGCAGTGCCCTATCACAGCATGTTACCTCAGGTAAATACTGGATTTGATCAGAATTTGACATTTATTAACGTATTCTACAAGAAGATGCCTAACCATATGCTGTATTCTGACGTTCATTTACAATTTCCACTATCATAGTCATGGTGCCAAGTATGTGCTTATGAAGACTGTATGGGCAGTATTTTTACTAAGAGTATCCTGAAACATACAGCTACATTTTTGGTATGGCCTGCCCCCTAATATATAAAATAATCGCTATGTTAGCGCTTGTCACATAATGTGGTCTGTGAATTAGGAAGTTTCCTACAGTCGAAAATATTGCCTGTGTTACTTGCATCTGATAATATAACTAGTATCTGTGACAAATCTGAAAGAATTATTCCAATAACTTTAAATTTAAGGAAGTTATGGCATTTTCTGTGATGGCTGCTGTGTAGCCGATCGGCCTCGCGCGTCGAGGTTCGGTAGTGACTTCACATGACGGAACGTCCCGCGTCGCAGTGAAGCGGTCGGACGACACGACGGCATATCGCATACATCCTTAGCGCTCAAGATGACAAGACGTAATTTATTGTTTGAATCTTGGCGTAGATTGTTGTATGGTAGTATATAGTAATTAAAATGGAAAAGGTTTTTTACGTGCCGATTCCACAAATCTTTTGAAGGTGGACATAATAATGGTAATTGATTTCTTCACAAACAATCCACTTTATGATTTATTCTATACAACTCTGATAACGTGAACCCATTTTTTCAACACTTCCCCTGCGACTATACCATATTGTGGACTTATAAAAGTGTTTTGAGTCATCAACTTTACGTAGGACGCGTGATGCCAGTGGCGGGGTATTATGGGTGATCTTATTTGGCTTTATTAATTTTATAAATAGAAGAAAATGAAAACATGCTCTGCATGCATCAAATAGTTTAGGATGACCCAAACTCCAGCGAATACGTTTGATAAATTAATAATAAATTCACTATCGCGCAGTGACCAGAAAATCAACTGTTTGAACTGAAATTTAATCCAACGCCAATATAGGACTTGATGGCCGTCCGGTGTTGACTCACAGCATTTTAATAATTCTTTCGTAACACTTCACGATGTCCATTTGTTAACCAGGAGTAGAATCAATGATTCGTCATTCATTTTTGGGTATTGTTATTTGGCTGTTGTCATTATAGGTCTGGAAGAGACACCTATGGAGACAAGGCGATTGGTTATGTGCAGTTAAAAAGATAACGGGATATCTGTATTGTAAAAGCCAGGATTACGCCCGAACATAGAGTTAAAAGCAAACCGTATCATTGCAGTTTTGAATGCGACAAAAAGGAGGAAACAGTAAACAAGCTACAATGTAGTGGTTGTGCTGCACAAAAGGGTGGCTGTAAGCATGGTGTAGCGATATTAATGTGGCTACACAGAAGAAGCGAAGAACCACCATGCACTTCCGTGAAGTGCTACTGGAGAAATGCCAGATTATCTACTATTGGCAGTAATCTAAAATTCATAGAAGCCTCTCAGATGATTACACATTAGGCGCAAACAAGGTTTGAACAGTGTTCCCCCTACAGCCGCAGGACGATCACTATACAAATACTCACATTATCTCGAAATTCTTTACCTTATCATGCGATTCAAACAGACTAATAATAATTAGCTAAATAGCTGCTTACATCAAAATGGGATTCACAGCAAAACAACGTTGATTTTTCCGACATCGGCAATTTATCGTCCCTATACATTACCTTGCACCACTTCTTTCTAATACTTCCCTGTTTTGGCACACAGAAAAAATGTTTATCTGGAGCTGATATGTTAGTATTTGTACACCTAGGTACAATAAAATATTTGTAGGTTGAGGGTTTGACTCACTTTTTACTCATTTTTAATAATAGGGGGAAGTGTGTGTGGCGCGGCGCGGCGAGCGCATCTCCTTGCAGTGGTGCTGGGCTGATAAGCTTCCGTCATGTGACGTCATCACTCATTCGCACGACCCTCCAAATAATAAACCTCTGCGCTGTACTTCATTTTACTTAGACTATCATTTTGAGTGTCTTTTGAAAAATAGGAAACTTCCTCATTAAGTGATGAGACTGGTTACGTAGCTTTCCGTCTGACGACACTGGAAGCGCTGGGCATGGAGGGGTGACAGGCGAACCTGTGATCCGGTTTCAGTAGAAGGTAGAAGTTTGAACTCGTTCGGGTCATTTTGCCGTGGCGTTTTTTTGTGAAACAGTTTTTCCTGTTGTGTTCTAAAAATGAATGACATCAATTTCGAGCAATGTTGTGCTATCAGATTTGGCGTCAGACTTGAGCATAGTGCAACGGAAACTCTTGCTAAACTTAGAGCCCAGGTTTTTCGGTGGTTTAAGGAATTTTCAGAAGGGAGAGAGACGATTGAAGATGAACCACGAAACGGAAGGCATTCATCTTCAAGAACCATGGAAAATATCGACAGACTCCGGTATCGGGGAAAAGTTAAGTTTCACTCATTCATTAGATCAAGGACAGCTGGGTATCACGATAATGCAATGTCAATAAATGTGTTTTGGCCAGTAATTACTGTCCTGTGGCTCCTCAGACTACTTATTCGCTTGGCTTGAGTCCTTGTGACTTTTTTCTCTTCCCGAAGTTGAAAAATCACCTCAAGGGAACCTATTTTGGGACAGTCGAAAACATTTAAACGGATGTGACCGACCAGCTGAAGGCTATTCCAGTATCGCAGATCCAGCGCTGCTATAAGGAGTGGAAGAATCGTCTCAGTGCTGTGTAGCTTCTGAAGGAAATTGTTTTGAGGGTGACAATATAAAATTGTAATCATATTTGAATAACAAAGTGAAAAAAATCAGTCTCATCACTCAATTTATTGACCTTGTATTTCGGCAATAGAATATATGCAAGTTATAAATATCCTCTTCTAGTGCCATCTCTGAAGCGGACGTTACATCACATCAGAGCCACAGTACATACCTCAGGTATCTTGACGTTTAGTCAACACACACAGCTACTATAATTGAACATGAAATGAATGATGGCTAGTTTCCAAGTGACAATTATAGCGATCAGGTCACTATCCGTGTCATTTTGCAGATTGCAATAACGGTATCGGCTATATTGCTACACATGTTCAGCATTCCCGACCCATTTTCATATAGTGCTGTCAGGTTACTGAACTGTCAGAATCCTATTTAATGTAATGTTAGTACTGTAAAGCTATCGCGACCCATACGATTTTTGTCAAACTTTCTTGCCTCATTTTGAAGCCTTTTTGATGAAAAATTCTGAAAAGTGTACATGTCTACAAATTGCAGACAATATTGCCAAGATATAGCCATATCTATATATCTATATTATAAACAAGGACTACCTCAAAACGGAAGCGCCTTTTCTCGAAATAAAAAAAAATCTAGGTACTTGAAAGTCTATAGAAGAATTGGGAAAGGGATGAAAACACCTTCAAAATGGGTATGTCCAGTTCGTTGCATCAGTTAATTGGTTATTGCAATTCGGACTAAAGCCAGGAAGAAATAAAAACGACTTAGAGTAAATTCGGAAATACTTTGAATTTCCAAACTGTCCAAATTCCATTTTTTATTTATCTATGCAACTTGCCCCCGTAAGGTGCTGCATTCTTTAGGCAAATGTCACAAGATCATTGTTTACTGTGAATATATATATTTATCATGAGATGTAATATTTATTGACCATGTAGACTGGATGCCAGTAATTATTTATGCATAATGTTACGCAGAAATCCACTGATGGTACGGACCACAGAAAATAATGATCGTGTGACATTCGCTTTACCGTTTCTGAGAACCCAAAGGCGACACACATAACATATATATATATATATATAGTGCCTTTATCAAAATTTTATCCAACAGATTTCAACTAATCCTAATAATTTCTCATTTAATAGATATTGATTCAGTTTGTAGGGAACCCTGTACATATATAATCTAAATTATGTAAAAAATGTTCCTCCATTTAATTTTTGCCGAGCTAGGCTGAAGTGGTAGTAGCTGAACCAACCCCCCTCACCTATGCCTCCCTCCTGGGTGCACCCTTGGGCCAAAAAGTAATTATATCCACCTTTCGGTCAATTAATTCATCCAAAAAAGCTAAAAAGTACTCCACATTACCTCCTCTCTGTTCAAGGCCCAGGTAAGACCTAGCCTCGAGTACTGCTCACATATTTGCTGTTCAGATGAGAGCTATCCGACTGATTGATAACTCTTGTCTTAAGGACAGTTTCGGGACCCTTTCTCACCGGCTGGCCGTCGGTGATCTAGCTCCCTTCTGTCATTACTCCAACGGGCTTTGCTCCTCAGAGCTCTGGTCCACGATGCCGTCGCGCGATGTGCCTGTCAGTCAGACTCGCCTGACTTCAGCCTCCCATCAAACTTCGTACATCCAGAACCCCTTCCCTGACTTCAGCCGCCCATCAAACCGCCGCCCAGAACTCCCTAGGGTATCGAGATTGTGGAACAATCTACATGAGGAGGCTTTTCTCAGTTCTAATAACCTTAGGCAGCTCAAACATTGGATTAACAAAGTTTCTTTAAGCTCCTCATAGCAGCCGCGGTGCCCTGGTGTTCAGGCTTCTGCCTGCGCGGCTGCTTCAATGTAAAACAAGGTTTATCTATCAGGCAACAACGCATTTATTTCCGACTAAATGTAAATAGCCGTCGTCAGGTGTTTTGTGGTCACCATGTTTTTTTTTTCTAATTTCATTCGCCTCGTCTGTCTTCTCTTATATAACTACTCTTTGGTTAGGCCATGTGCTGCACTCTATGTTCATGATGGCTGGGCTGTAGTTACTGTAGATATAGCCAAATATTGCAAAAAAAATATTGCTCAGACTCATATTTCTTTTTAAAGAAAATTATACTTGAACATTACATCAACATTCCAAGAAAAGATCACCCCTCTATTTCCCTCAAGGTGTACACGGACTCATTTTCACATATTTACTGAATGTTCCACAATGAGAGTCAGTGTAAAAATTTATTACGATGAGAAAAGAAATATACGTTTTGGGTTTGTCTCTTCTACTAGCCAGCCTGTTAGCTTCTGAGCATCGGTACATTGGCAGCAAAGTAATAACTGAAAAGCCAACACTTGGACCTCGTATAAATCAGATAGTACCTACCGTTTTGGATTTTGTAAAATGTCATTAATCTGACTAATGAACATTGTTGACCCCTCTTTATTATATTTTCCATCCTCCCGTTTTATCCTGAAGAGAAAAAAAAGGCTAATTAAAAAACTGTTCAATAACGAACGTTTTGGTTCTGATCCTATGAACCCTCGCAATTATTATGAAAACAATCAGTGGGATTCGTTCGAGAGCCGACCTCGATTTCACTTTGTCTACTGAGCGTAAAACTAACCTGAAAACCAATGATGGCATAAACGTTCGTATCAGAACGTTGTTGAGGAGTGTTAAGGAATTAATTTAAGTATTTTCTATTTATTTACGGTTTCCCATTACATAAAAAATATGTTTATGTAACAGATTACAATATCTTTATATAAATTATAAAAAAAACAAGAACTAAAGATTCTTGTGTCAGTAAAACCTATTTATATTTAAAACCTAACAAACTAAAAAGAAACAATATTGCTAGTGAAAATGTCTACAGTCTCTAACAAAAGTTTGGAAGACATCAAATTATCTAACGAGTGACTCATCTATTTTTTTTTAATGGGTAGGTTTAGATTCGAAACCACGGCGGATCCGTTGATGATATCCGCGATGTTGCTAAATCTACAGTTTTTCAGAACCTGATAGCAACTTTTGTTTTTCTTATGGAATGCTATACATTTTATTCGATAGTTGTATTCTGCGAGAAAATCTGAATACTTTTTATTAAATATATTTGTTTGAATGTCAGAAATAACAAGAAATTATTTTCGATACCGGTCATTGCTTAGGTGAAAAAAATACCTTTCGTTGTTTGGATATTAATGTTTGACTGCGAATATTTCGAAAACTGTGAGGTCTACATCAAAGTGGTCAAAGTATGTTTAATGAAAAATATTCAGAATTTCTCGCAGAATACAAATATTCAATAAAATGTATTGCATTGCAGAAAAACAAAAGTTGCTATCAGTTTCTGAAAAACTGTGGTTTTGGCAACATCTCGGATATCTTCAACATACCCGCCGTTTAAAAAAATAGATACATGATTCGTCAGATATTCGATACGTTCCAAACTTTTGTTAAGGTGGCTACAGACACAACAGCAGGCTGGACAAGCTTGCAGTTGTGTCTGTAGCCATCTTTACAGTCTGTATATTGTAGCTTCTAGCGACGTTGCCAGAAGTAAGAATTCTAGTAACGGGTTCATTCATACCATAGTTCGTAGAATGATGTGGAATCGTAAATAGCGAGTTCGTCTTTCATTAACATTAACATTTATTTGTGCAAGCACCTCAGTTCAATCTATGACACCATTAACTATTTTAAACGGAAAATATAAACTAAAAATGTTTCTGCTGCGTTTTAACGTACTCATTAGTTCTGAAGCGTTCTGACTCCGATCCATTTTAATAGTTGTACTCCAAAATACACCGCACCAAAGAGCAGAAAAACTTCTACGGAGAGATGTTTGGTAAATTTAACAATGTATCCCGATATTTTATATGATTTAGAAGTAATTTCTCTAACGGATGTTTTAAAAGTTAAGTTTGTATCAAAAGTTGTACCTGAATCACTAACTGTATGAGTTCTCACGAGGCCACGGTTTTCAACTTTATATTCATACATGGCGAGATTTGAAATACGGCTGAAGCTTCTCTGGTAGGATTTATTGAAATTGTAGATTTTATTGGTACTATACCACCCAGTAAGATTTATGAGATCTTGTAAGATTCCACATCGTGGATATGTTTATCTGTTCTGAATAATTTAAGATCATCTGCAAAAATCAAGTAACTACTATTTGATATTAAATGCAACTGGACCAATGTGGGGTATACCTGAAAGATATTGATGGGATTAGATAATGAACGATCATATCTGACACACTGTGATCTTCCTTACATGTAGCATCTAATCCTGGATAGTTGACTGCTTGATACTCTCTAACTTTACAATAAGCCAAAAGCACGTCATGATTTAATCTGTCGAAAGCTTTCGTATAATCCGTTTAGATGGAGAAAAGTTGAAGCTTGTTTCCGAAAGCATTTATTATGAAGTTCTCATAAATGATTAAATTTGTAGCAGTTAATCTTCCTGTGGTGAAGCCATACTTAAATGTCCCATGAGTATCCCATGACTCTATCTTTGATACCAGATAATCCAAAAGCTTAGAAATTTCAGATTAGAGACATACTCATTCTTGGGAGCAGACCTATGAAATGATGTTAAGACTCTCTTTCCACTAGTCAGGATAGACAGCGAAATCCATAGATCGATTGAATATAGATAAGAGTGGTTTAGCAAGTGTGAAAATACACTTGTTCAAAACAAATAACATCCGGTCCATTTCGTGACTTCAAATAAGCATGACCAGAGAAAAGCAACAACAGGAAAAATTAACCAAAACAGAATTTTGTTTGAATAAATTGTGTTATTTATTGTTTGCATATGAGGTACTTCATACTGAAAGACAAAAATTTAGCATCTCTTCTATCCTAATCTGAGATCAAGTAGTGAAAATATTTTCTCTATTGCAGATAACCACCCAAATGGGTACGATGCAGCTTAGCAGTTCGTACATCTCGCCGCAGTACTCGTACTACCACCCTTCAATCCTTCACGCAGTACCGGTGGAGTCCGAACACACGTCAAACGCGGCCAGTCCGGACGACCCCTACCAGCAGTACCAACCGCCGCCCAAGTAGTTCGGTACGACCTTTTTCAGTGCCAGTCATCATCCTCGGGTCAACATTGGTCGATGGTGATTGCGCAGGGTCCGACCTTTGCTACTGGTCAACCTCACACTAACATTGATTAGTGATGATTGGGCAAGATACTACTTTTGGTGCCACTCATCATCCTCAGATTAACATGTATCGATGATAATTGCTGCACTTTTGATCTTTACGATCTTCACACTATCCTTGATCGATGATGATTGGGTAAGGTAGGATCTTAGGTACCATTCATCATATACACACAGCATCCTTGCGACCTGTTTGAAAGTTGCCGCACGGATTTTAAGTTTTGTAGGTGTTAAGCTATGTCGATATGTCGATCCAATGTAAGGTTTTAGATGAGGCGAAAACCCCGTGGGACTGGGAGAAATTTTCCAACTAATTTTTTTTTCATAATACGTTTTTTGGGTGACCATTAATATAAATCAAAGAGTTGCCGGGCGGTAATTTGGTGCTAATTCCACTAAACAATTTTTTCAAAATCATTATTAAATTGGTTATTTGTATTTTTCACACCAAACAAGGTTTGTTGTATCATTCTGAACAAACAAGGTCCTTGCCAATTTTTTTCTGAAGCTGACCGTTTTCGAATTATGAATGATTGCGGGTCTGAAAAATCATAAAATATCCAAGAAATTACTATTTTTACGGTTGCCAAGTGTCTAAATTGAAGTTCAAACCTTCACCCATGAGATCTGAGGATTTTTTTCGCTTAGTTTATTTTAATCATTATAATTCAATGCCTTAAAATATACTCAGTCCAAAGTATTCCTCGGGTCTTCTATATGACAAAATTTGAACCTTATTTTTGATAGGTGGCAACCTTAAAAATATCAATTTTTAACTGATTTTCTAAGTACTGAATGTGGCTATTTTTATGGGTTTTCAGCCTATACATCGTTTATAAATCGAAAAGGATCAAGTTTTGAGAAAATTTATCATGGATGTTTTTATTCAGGATGATCCAAAACACCTAAAACATCCTGTAGCGAAAAAACAGTTTATTTTCAAATAGTTGTTTAAACAAATTTACAGCGGGTTACAGCCCAGCAATCTCTTGATTCATGTTAAGGAGCATCCAACAAAAGTGATAGTGAAAAAAACGAGGTGGAAAATAACTCGCACATATGCGAAGTTTTCGCCTCGTCAATTTTAAAAGGAGGTTCGAAATTTTTCCAGGACAGCCGTAAAAATTACGTGACAGGTATCCTTTTCTACCAGTTTCAAAAATGAAATCTCCTGCTTTGATTTTGATGAAATTGTTTTGAAACAAAAAGTGGAAATTGATCTATACATCGACATTGCTTTTAACACTTGAAGATTTGTGTTGTCTAGAGTAAAGACGCATCAAAATGCGCATATAGTTTGATAGATTAGATTTATATATGAATTTAAGACTTATCGGCAATTTTTGAAATGGGTAGATTTAGACTCTATTTTTGTTCTTGGTTGGTTACCAAAAAATGTAACCCGAGTCTGTACGATAGTTTTTTTGCTGCTGATGATTTTTGTTTTATTTTTGTAATACATTTATTGTTTTCTTGGATATATTTTACAATTTCTTATTGTTAAAAACAAAAAAAGGACTGAAACTATGTGTAAAGTAGATATTTTTGATACAGTATGTTCCTAGCATGAAAACTGAATTGTATTGAAAATATGTCTTCTGACGACATCTATGTAAGAAATGAATCAGTTTTTCTTTGTCCGTGATAGAAAACGGTGGAAAACGAACATTTTTGCTGCATTGTCAGAATTTAATGATCTAATGGGAATTGTTTGATGAAACATCTTATTTGAGTGAAAGTAAGTCATAAACAAAGTTTCAGTGGTTTTCTGGAAAATAATCCACACACATATTAAAATGCTATCTATCCCAGTTAGTCTGAAAATGTGATATAGTAGAGTTTTTTATATCAAGCACTGGTGATAACGCATATTACTTTACCAAAAATGTATATTTTAGAGATAGAAACCAGTCTTTAGGTACACAGTTGCATAGAAAATGGTCGGTAAAAATCCTAAATATAAATATATTTACAAAGCGTGCCATATATAGTAAAGTTATCATATAAGTGATGCTTTACAATTAAATGATTCCTCCGAATATTTATATTGCTGAATGTAGTTTTTTCCAAGTTATGCGAGAAAAATAGAACAACACAATAGCGGCAAAAATAAACATCAAATCTACAGGGTAAAAAAGACTGCACCCAGTAATACCGTAGAAGCCCACCTAATTCAAAACCAGAGCGATATCTTAGAACGCATGTGTGCCTTTTTAGTGCAATATAATACTTACGAAGCCACAAAAAACAAAAAATTGCCAAGTTTCTTGGATTAACCATATTTGATAATGTGAGACATTTAGGGCAAATTATTTTTAAAATTGCTGACTGCCTGCAGTAAGTTAACTGTTATTATTGATCAACATATTCTACCTGAAGATAGCTAACTCAATGCTATTTCGATATCCAAAATATTATCCGAGATGGAATGAGATACCATGTCGTCCTCTGGGAGAATTTTTCACAACTATGTTTCTCCTCATGGCGCTGTAACCAACTATATAAGCATATATTTGTAGTTGTACTTATAAGTTATATCAAAACAGAGAGAGAGAGAGAGAGAAAGAGAGAGTTTATAGTAGTTATCAAAGATCCAAATTCCTGAAAAATATTTATTATACTTTTTAATATCATATTATTTGAAATGTCAATGCAGCAAAACTGACCAAGAGTACATCATTTTGAAGCGACTGTAATATCTGTAAATATCCTCAAGACGCACTTTCTTACATAGATCAAAGAAATACCAACATACTTAGCAGGAAAAGGAACTAGTATAGAGACCGTAGTTGAACAGGATGTAAAAAGTGAATGTGGAGAAGAACGACTTTCTACATACAGTATGTTACCTATAACCCTGTGCAACTCAATATTCATAGGGAGTATAACATCACGTCTCCAGTCTAGGTATGCAATATCTAGCAAGTGTGCGTTTACAATGTGATGTTTGACTTGTATAATATTATGAGTAACATGCTGTATATACAGCAGTAAAAACGTGTATTGATCTTCCCAAGCCGTTAAGGCATAGAATAGGTAAATTAGTATTTTATTTTTTGACGAAGATCTACATAGAAATATAGGTAGTTGTTAAAAAAGCTACGCAAGATTTGCGATAAAACTGCTCATTGTAATCAAATAACTTCTTCCTAAAATAAATGAACATCTTTCAACTAAAACTTCCACTATCAAATTATATTATTTTCTATTTATTTTTCGATTATTGCCGTGCTTAATTTTTTCGAATGTTTCACCCCTCATACCAACATTATTTTCCGGAGACCTGAAGACTTCCAGTATGTGATATTCTTTGTTTTTGTAGTTTCATTGTCGTCTCATATCTTATAGTTTTGGTCTTTCACGTTGGATGTTTTCATAAAGGACACTTTATGACATTGAGATTTTGTATAGAGTGCTTGCCAAAGTCGTTTTCCCTTTCAGATTTCCGTATCTACAAGAGAGAGGAGCGCGGCTGTAACTCCTGCCCCACTCTCATTGTCAGGAAATGCGGTGACGACGCTTATATGTCGTACTCTCTCTAACACGTTTCTCTCGCTTCTATCTCTTGTGCACATGGAAATCTAAAAAGGAAAACGACTTTGGAAGGCTGTATACCTAATGTGTTTGACAGTATTTTTGTGCCAATCTGAATATATAATTTTTCTATATATTATATATTTTGAGATCAACAATGGGATAGTCCTATGTATCTACAATGATAACAGAAAAATATAGCAAAAATAACATATGACTAAAGTTTTATGAATGGTTATAAAAGACAAAACTTTTGGTGTTTTTGATGCTCGATTTAATAACTAAAACATTACAAAAATCTCATGATTCTCTCAATAAATTATTTATTATATTGTTTCAGATCGCTGTTCGATTCTTTGTTGTTGCTATAGGATGAAAAAAATCATGAATTGGAAATCTTACCCGGTACAAGGTTAAAGCTTTACACTATTTATATATGTATTCACAAATTCAGAATTGGTCTGCTTGGTGAAACATCTTTTGCGAAATAATATATTCGGAAATGATTTATACTAAAATCCTTACTTATAACGCGACATTCCAATGTCCTAATGTACATTAATTTTTCTTTCATTTAACTTATTTAAAGATGGATTTCGTATTAAAATGTCTCCCTATTGACTCTGTACATTGGCCACTTGAAGTGCTAGTGTCACTCTTCTGTATGTAGGAAATACAACGTCACAGTAACAAGTGAAAAAATAAAAGTGTCGGTCAAATGTTGTCAATTTTAATGGGTATTTATACACTAAGTTACTTGACACCTATTTAGCTTTCTGCAATATTTGATCAATGTATTCTACCTGACAATAGCCAACCATATACAGTATTTTAGTGTCCGAAAAAGTAGCTGAAGACAAAAAGGAAATCAGCATCTAGTATGAAAAAAGTTAGGGGTCAATTCTGCTACTATCTTATATATGGCGCTAAGATTTTCAATTCCTTTTGGCGTGAAAAAAAAAATAAAAATCCTAGTACTATCTAAGTGACAATATAAAGAACCAAACACTCTTAACTCCTTTCAAAGTTAATTTCTCAAATAATTTTTGTGTTCTGCTACTGATTCATAAATGGCGCTAGATCCTTTCAAATTTTTTATAATATATGGTTTTGTATCATCAGATAGTATCCATTAATTACTGCTTAAATTTAACGAAAGACGGTGCGAAATTTGATACCGGCTGCGAGATCTAATACTAACAGATTTTCAAATATTTATGACGATTGTTTTAAGATTGGCACGAAATTGCCCAAGATTGTTCGATTTTGAAATCGACATTAATTTCTTCGCTTCACTTGTCATCTTCCATAACCTAGTTACTTTTGTCAGTTTATCAATTGCTTTTTCTCTATATGGAAGTGCGATGATAACGTTACAAGTGGCCATTGTATAGAGCCAATTTTTTTTTTGTACAGTTGGTTTATATGTATATGTATAGTGCAATTTTTGTTTTATTTTCTAGATTTATTTATATTAAAGCTGAAAAGATACATGCATATATATATATTATGATCGGGATTCTTTTAGAATGGACTGACATTATATTTATTTAAAAAATGGTGACTCATTTAGAGACACTTCATAAAAGAAACAATCAACTCTTTTCGGGTTATCTTCTTATCGGAGGAAAGAAGCATTTTTGTCTTTAAGTTTTTGAAGACTTACTATTTTTATCTTATCAAGGGCGGATCTAGAATTCATTTTTTGGGGGAGTGGGGCGGCGGCGACAAGGGAAATGTTTGGATTTGTGATTATGTGTTAGTGAAAAATCATTTTATTGAAAATGCGAATATAAACAGCATTTTTAGACATTAAAATCGATATTTGTCAATTTTAGGAAATCCAACAAACTCTTTTTCTACAGGCTCATTTCAAAAAACTCTAGGAATTTAATAAAAATAGCAAGCATTTCAACCTACCATAATTCTTGTCCAAAAACAAAATGTTGTAAAATGCTCTCATAGCCATTAACTTCTACAAATGGTTTGAAACACTACACCTCAAAAGCGGCAGCTCCATTCGAACCTGTGTACTTGTGAGATCGTTTGATTGCTTAGTAGGTGCGTTTTCCATCTTAGCTGATTAATACAAGGTCGCACGTGAAAATGAGCACTCCCTGGTGATGAAGCCGTGTCGGAAAGCGCGCCAAATTTAAATATTAATTTTTCTTTGGTTTTACTTGATCGCCCAGTTGATGGTTATCGACCAGCATCATAGTTTTTGTATTCCCTGTCGATTAATCACGTAAATATCACACCGTAAACAAATATCTCATTCATGGAAATTTGTCATGGATTGTATTTTCGGTTAGGTTACTGTCGAGTTTTCTATAAACCATCTGATTCAAAGTATTTATAGGTTATGTTTATTACTACAAATTACATTGAAACTTTCGATCATCACACTGATAAGTTGACAATCAATGACAGTTAAAACAAGTTTTTGCCGTTTAAAGTCGGGCTGACCAATCATAAAAGGGTTGGCTGGTCACAAGTAGCAATTGGTGATATCACTCCAATAACGTTCCGTTTCAACATTTTAAATTTAGCGCGCATTTTTGATATTTTCTATTAATTAATACTTGCAAGTAGCGCTCAAGTATAAAGTAAGGTAGAAGGCATCATTCTGTAACAATATAGACTGTACATAAAAATAATTGAGCGATATTTGAATTCCATGCACCTTCTCTATTAACATTAACCAGTTAAATATTTTTTAAAGCGCCAGAGTAAAAAATACCTATACGTATATTTTTTCTTTTTCGATGGTCTTTGAATGGCAGGACTTTCCCCAGTGATTTTTAAAAAACGAATTTTATGGACGCTTCTTTCGTTTGATAACGATGATAACCCGACATAGTTGATCCTTTATATTATCTTTTTTTTAAAAGTGCCTCTAACTGGACCACCCATTACTTGTTCCAGTAGATTGACTGGGCGAGATGAGCTGTGATTTTGTATTTTTTCAGTCATATATGTATAGTCGTATGTAAGGATATGAAAGGTCGTCTATGGGTTTTACTCAGTTTCTCTGCTGGAATCACATGCGTATTTGTTTCTATTTTTGATGAAGACATAGCCTTCAAGGAACGTTTAGACAGATGTCTGGTGTGCATTTATCAACTTGGCTCATCCATGCCGATTGATGATGAATCTTTCACAGATTGGATTTTACACAACATAATCCAGGTACTTCAATCATTTGGTGCTAAACATGGAAATTTACAGAAAATTTTAAAGCTGACATTTCTGTACACCATAACAAGAAACTGGAAATTTCGGAATTAGCTGTCAAAGATTTCCGGGATCAAGTTAAAAATAGGCTGTTGTGGTGTTTATTTCAAATGCAAGTAACATGTTTGACCTGTTTAGTTTATTTTATGTAAAAAAAGGAATTTCCTACAACATTTCCGACAAAACCTGTTTTTGAGTGCTGATTTTTTAATGTGACACTTGAAACGCAACAGAAAACTTGAAAAGAGTTTGTAAAACCTACAGAAATATTATCTTCGGAATTTTTAACTAATTAACTTTTGAAAAATTCTCACGTTGGAGATCCCAATGATTGACCTAAACTAATGAGAGCTTAAATGTGTTTCCAAATCACAAAAACGTTGACGGTTTAATCCCAAATTCCAAACTTCAACAAATATTTTGTACTCTCTAAGATTTTCCCTGGATTATTTTTTCTAACAGCAACTCTTATAAACAAGGGGCGTCCAATTTTTGGTGCCTATCATTATAGCGTAATTTGATTAATTGGTCATCCATGGGAATTTACTATGAGAATGGTTTTGAAGTGGATAGCAGATTTATTCACGAAAATTTAGGGTTGTTGGAATTTAATTTCATATTTTTTGAGACAGTAGCTTCAGAGAAGCAGCACTTTTTCAAAGTTGTTTATGCTACAGAAAATTTCGTACTCACTGACGGGGGAATGACTTTTAAAACTATGTAATATCAATACTCATAAGGAATGATAGAAATTCTAGTTTTCAGATAAATCGTAACATTTTGTCTAGATTATTTATTCTAATGCTGCTACTGTTATTTTTTTAAATTGGTTGGAGATTCAATTAAAAAGAAATGTGAAGAGTGGATAAATGACCATATACCAGACAAATTTGCTTCTGGAACACGTTAACAAATCGTGCCTTTTCAGATTGTCCACAGGGATATACTGAAAAATATTTCAATATATTTTTTTATCTTGGTGTATTCTTAAAAAACCGTAAACCAAATTTTTAACTTTATAGTTGTTTCTGTGTTGTAGAATTTGTAAAAACACACGGAACCCAAAGGAAGACGCATCCATTTTTTCATCAGAATGTTTCAACTCAAAGACGCAGAGAAACATATTCTAACAGTTCTGTTTGTGGTGATCTTTAAAACGCCGACTAGAATGACAACTATCAAATATACACTGAAAATACATGATCTTGTGAAAAAAGGATAGCTCTCCCTTGATTCTGTTTAAAGGTTCATCTTTGTATTGCGTTTAGAATTTGTGGAGGCCAGGGTAGATTGAACAAGGCACAGCTCTATAAATCTGCTTTTGCAGAGTGTCTTACAACCCTCCATCCAATTTTGTGTGTATCATAGCCTAATCGTTTCTAGAGGAGTTCTCTTAGAGAACTGGATGAATCCATTTTTCTGCATTCTGTCACTTCTATATGTTTAATCTTTGAAAAGTACTTATTTCTATATCTACACACTTGTACAAATTGATTGACGCCTATTATATCAGGGAAAATTGAAGCAATTGGCAACACCGCAAATTGTGGGGTAGATGATCAAGGCTTTCAAAGATTGAACTTGTAGAAGTGTTAGTATGCATAATTTTTGCCCTTTGCCTTGCTTTTTATACACTCACTAAGTTCATGTCAATAGTGACAATAAAATACATTATCTTCAGGAAGTGATAGATCAGATAATAACAATACATGTTCACTAAAAAAAAAGAAACAATTATACATCCATTCTCTTATCATTCACTTTCGTTCCAATTCCAAAGAAGTGAGTCATTTAAAAAACTGTTGATTTCTTTTTTGTGCCTGTGTCATCATATATTTTTTCCAAAAAGTGTATGTAGTCGTAATGCCCTTCAATAAGGATCATACGAGAATAAAGGGCTTTGCGTTCATAGAGACCTATTTCATGGTCAAACAGTTATGATGGACCACTTTTGAGAGCCAAGTGATGGAGAATGACCAGAAAGTTCGAATTCATCTCATTTCACGTTAAGTGAGCATCAGTATAATTAGCAAAACAAAGTTGATAGCTGAAACCAAATATTGTATGGACACCTATTATGAGGTTTAAACAGGTTAACTGATATGAATCAGTTTTATTTTCTTACATTGGAAACCACGTTTGATGGTGTAACTATTTTTTAGTCAGGAAAATATCGACGTTTTCGATCAGCGACTACCTATTTGATTGGAAGAGATTCCAATTTGTAAAAAGTATGCGGAAAGCATTTAGTTAAGGTTAGCTTTTAGCTAGTAGATTAGTAAATTAGCTATAGGGATAGGATAGTTAGGATTAAGTCAAAGTAAGTAGATTAGTCATAAAGGGTAAGATTAAATTAAATCAGTTTTTTGGCTGAATCATTTGTATGGTTTTTAGTTAGTGTTTATACATAGATATTTATAATGCTGAGGGATTAGTCATATTTCACGGCAATATCCACTTTTTTTGATTTCCCACTGAGACATGGCCAACCCTCAGACAGTGTTTTTAGTCAAGAAGGTGCGTGCCTACTTATGTTTCAGCCGATAATGAATACAAAAAACTGACAAAAAAAGATTAGCATAACTGAATGTTTTTTATTGTTATAAGTTTAAAGTGTATGTTTTTTGTTTTCCCTTTTTTCTATTGTAAGTCTTTTGTGTTGGTAAATATAAAAATTCAAAATGCAATTTTGTTTTATTTAATTTAATACTCCTAATAGTGGCTAACAGCAATAGAGGCCCAAGAAACATTCAGAGTTCTTAATTAAAAAATGTTATGCAATATCGATCAATTAATCTCTTGTTGTATTTCTATACCTCATGTTTTTGTGACCTGGTACCTAACAAATTTTCACCTATCGAATCTGCCGACTGCAAAAAATTAAGAAACGGCAAGAGGTAACTGAGAAATAAATATGAGTATCCCCCCAATTTATATGGGGAGAGCAGAAGTACTCTTCAATATATCGCCATTCTGTGATCCTGGTAGCAAAGTTTTCCGCATCAAATATAACGAAGATGCAAGTAAAATCTCGCAAGATTAGTGATTCTCAAGCATTAAACATTTGTATAGGTTGAACTATGAATTTCCTACCAACTTCGGATCAAGAACAGTGGTTTTCTATACCTCACGTTTATGTGATTACTGATAGACGTTTTTTTCAGCAGGAGTACCTTTCCATGTGTCCTTCCGTGATATTGTAATTTTTTACTGAAGAATTTGCTGTAAACATTCTAATTTATTTTCTTCGCTAGAGAACTGAAAACAAGCATTGTAATCGATATAATCCCAAAAAGTGACAAAAACGGCAGCATACCAACGAGGATTTTTCCATCGTACCCTCGTGGTACACCTTGGGAGAAATTTACAATTGGTTCCATATTTAAGTGTACGAGGGTGGTCCCAGAAGTACCCGACTCAACGAAGAAAACAAAAAAATTTTGTAAAAAAATGTATTTTTCAACATAATCTCCTTTGAACTCTATACACTTTTCCCAGCGATGTTCAATAAGTTCGATACCATTTTTATAATAAGAACTGTCTTGCTTCTAAAAATAGCCATTAACTGCCCACATCACTTCTTCATCGTTGGAAAATCTTTCACCACTGAGCCATTTTTAAAATAATCCGAGGTGTCTAAATCTGGTGAATTGGGTGCATGAGGTAGCCATTCAAACTTTAATTCGTTAATTTTGACCATTGCAATAACGGATTTGTGAGCTGGTGCATTGTCTTGATGAAACACTTTCTTCTTAACCAAATGCGGTCGTTTTTGCTTGATTTCATCTCTCAAACATCGCAATAATTTGGCATAATACTCGCCGTTGATAGTTTTAACTTTTTGAAGATAGTCAATGAAAATTATCCCACGCGCATCCCAAAAAAACGACGCCATAACCTTGCCTGCAGATGAAACGGTCTTCGCCTTCTTTAGAGCCGGTTGTCCCTTTCGAGTCCATTGTTTTGATTGTTCTTTTGTCTCGGGTGTGAAGTGATGGACCCATGTTTGATCCATGGTTATGAAATTCTGCTTTGTTGCTGTGAAACTTCGCTAAACACTCAATTGAAACAACTTCACGACATTGTTTTTGCTCGATTGTGAGCAATCGAGGCACCCATCTTGCACACAGCTTTCTCATGTCCAAATTTTCAAATATGCGATGAACCGCACTTTTTGAAATGTCTACTATATCTGCTAGCTCGCGCACTTTCAGTCGACGATCATTCAGTACCGCTTTGTGAATTTTCTTCACTATTTCTGGAGTCGTCACTCGTCACCTCATTTGGTCGACCACGGCGATGCTCGTCTTGGCAGCTCATACGGCCTCGTTTAAACTCTGCTACCCAATATTTTACTGTTGTAAACGACGGAGCACACTCACCCAGAGTAGAATCCAGTTCAGCTTTTATATTGGTTGGGCTGAGGCCTTTGAAATAAAAGTACTTATTGTACAACATAACTATTACCAATTTTCTTCATTTTCACAAATTCACTACGTTCAGTATTGATGGCTGCCAAACAAGACAAATAAATACTAAACCACCGTGTTGTCATTGAATAGCATGGATTTGATGTATATTCTCTGACTCAGTGAGTCGTTACTATAGGCAACACAATACCCTCGTCAGCTTCGAGGCCGGTCGGTAATCCTATCGTTCAAATGAACGACTCGGTGAAGAGAGATGAACGAAATGAGAGAGCTCAGAGAAAAAAGTCGTATGTCTCAAGCCTATACATAACATAATTATAGAACATAAATAATCTCAGAGAGAAGAAATGATCGAGGACGATACGACATCAATTCATTCAAGTACAAAACAATGGGTTGACAGTGGCGCTGCAACCTACAACGGCTGTTAGCCTGCAGCACGCTGCAGTAGTTGCTGCAGGTCAATGTTGCCAGGCCTAGTGAAATTTCACTAGATCTAGTGATTTTTGAACAAGTTTTGTGATTTAGTGATAACTTTTGTTAAAGTCATATTTCTAGTGATTTTTTGAAAGGTTTGTGGCAAAAAAAATTGAAAAATACAATGAAAAAATATAGAAATGCAACCAAAAGTTGGTAAGAAGCGTATACAATTATATTCATCGCAGATTTAAAAGATTTTCGTAATTTCAAACATTTTTTAACATCAAACCCCACAAATTATTTTGCATTCATAACATACCAGTTGGCTGTCACTGATTTCCGCTGTAAGTAGAATTATTGAGCAATATGATGCTCTAGAGAATTATGTTACTGGTTTTTTGTACCTCAATGTACAACTAATAACGAAGGCAGCTCGATCCATTGTACAGTTTCTCCGGATTGATTGCTTGCTGAATATTTTCTAGATACGCCGCTGGTTAATATTTTTGGATACACAACATTTTTCTAATTGCTATTTTCAAAATTCAAGATATTACAGATATCCAATAGTGACAACAGAAGATGAAAAATGATTTTTCCATGTTCAACCAGGTTACAGGATGTTTTGATACAAACATTTTTCTCGTTTGATTTCTTTCAAACTTCGACCAATAGGTCCGGAGAAACCGTTTTTTGGCGCCCGAAAATTTTTCCTTGCGCTGTTACTTTGCTCCTAAAATTTTTCGGCTAAAACACCTGAAAACTAGAATCTTAATGCCTTTATCGAAGTCTAATTACGACCATTTCTCATCGAAAGACAACCAGTCAAAAGTTACTGAAAAGATTGTTTTTCTTGCTTCCTTAATTTTTTTGAGTAGTGTACGTTCTTAGTGTTTCCAGTTTTTTGTGAACTAGGAGTGCTACAAGCATGAACAGACAGTAAGGGCTATTTTAGAAGACTCAAACATAAATAATACATAAACGATCTTATATTAAGTTATAGAACACATTTTGGAAGTCAAATCTGAATCAATAAATTAATTTTCACTATCCCAAGACTGTCACAAAGGTAACTGACAGCAAATTGAATTCATTCTTTCCCATAGCAACAAATAACTATTAACTAAACAGGTATGACAATAAAAACAGTTCGCCCCGGATATGTGTTGATGAAAAGAATCCGGAAAAAAATCAGGTTGTTGGTAGTTACCGTTTTCAATTATAAAGGTAAAGTAGTTAGTATTTGCTTAAAAAGTTGAAACCCTTGACAAATCTTTTTCGATAAATCCGTGGTGGGAAGTTTTCAAATGAACACCCTGTATATGCAGCTGTCACGGAAAGAAACATCGATGTCGACGCCGACGTGCTGAGTACGCTCGCGGAAGATGATGCTCATATCAAATCGATAATAATTACGTTATTGCTCTATGAATATGCAAGTTTCAGTTTTTCAAATGCGGTTTATTTATAAATTACGTTAACGTAGACGCCACGCGATGCCTGATATGGATACGGCGGATACTGAATCACATAGCCCCACATCCACATAGCGACATAGCCCTAGTTCATCAACAGTGTTGCCACAGCGTTGTGACCAAATTACTTGCAAATGCCAGACAGTTTCACAAGTTCAAAGTGTTTTTATTCGTTAAGTAATGACAAGTATCGAAATCTTCTGCAAGTTCAATTCTATCGCTGAATGAATTTTTTGAGAACCTGTGCTATGAATTCCCATACTGAGCAGACCCGGCTTCTTGCGACAGAACGTAATGACTCTAAACACTTTTATAAATTCCCAGTTTGATATATGGTTTTGTGTAGGATAAAATACTTTTTTGCCTCTGCATACGGGACTTCTCTCATCAAGTGGATAAAAACACAATATTATTATAGTTATAAATATATTTAATGACTTTTTGATCTAAAATTACATGATCATTAATAGGATAAGTACAATTTTCATTTTATCTACTATTCATTAGGGGGACGTGTTTTTTAGTGACTGCATTCGCACTCGGGCGAGGAAAACCCCTAGAAAACCTCAACCGTCACTGCTAAGATCAATTGTATCAGGTGAAGAAATATCAAGTCGTTCCATAATTCTGGGTTCATTTGCACAATCGAAAATCGCCAGCATGCCACAATTAACCTAAAAAAAAGTAGCATTGAAATAACGATTTATACGAGGGAAATTTTTTAAGTACGAACCGTTTTGTAATCAGAAACAAACTAAAATATTAGCATTTTTATTTTTTCCATAGAACACCAGAAAATGACGCTAAACAATGGTAGTATGTTTTGTAAGTTATGTGTATGCAGAATAATCTGTTACTCATAAAATGGTATTGTCAAATACCATGCGTGCATCTAATTTTTTCCTGTGATAAAATCGAAAAAACACAATGCAAAGTAATACTTTTTTTAACAAAAAACATTCGTGCAGTTGAAAAAATCCTCGTCTTCTACTCGGATTTTTGTTGCCACTAGCACTCGTGGTTCTTGTAGAATATTCCTTAGCAGCGAGTTTTTTCGATTTTTTTCAGAAAAATTAGATGCACTCATAATAATCCCCCATAGTTCTCTGGTCAATCGAAACCGCATGTGTGTTGAAAAAAAAAAACATTATTTAGTCTAGTCCGAAATAATTGTATGGTCTGGTTTTATTGGAGCAAGTTGTTCAAGGGTGTATTTAAAACATGAACGCATAAAATGGGCACACCAATTTTTGTTGGAAAACTTTTTATTTGACAACAAAGAATGAGAAAACGTGTTTTATTGGGATTCAATCTAAAGTGTTGACAGGAACGAAAACAGTTTTCAGATAAGATTTATACGTATTTATGAGATCTTCAAAATGAAACCACACGTAAAAAGATCCGACTAACAGGAAAAATGCTATAACCCAAAAACGAGGCAAAACGCAGGTTTTGGCACTTGGTAATGCGACGATAATTTCACCCAGCTACTTGAAATTCTTCAAATCCATAGGATTCATACTTCTAAATAACAACGTCAAAATTAGATTATATGGATCAGGTAGTTTTTTGAGAATTTATAGTTGTTTATCCCAAAACACCTGTTCTCCGGCCATCATTACTAGTTTATTGAGCTATATACATCTTGTGGTTTTCATATCGACTATTTCCCTCATCTTCATTTCTAGCAGTTGCAAACGCGCAATTTTGGATTACAAATGGTTTCTAGATGGAACAATTAGTAAGACAGTACCTGTCAGCAGTTTTTTCGAGCTTACCCGCGGCGAAACATGACAGTTGTTGTCACCAAAAATTACAATACCTTTGATATTCACGGTGCGCAATTGGTTCTTACTTTAAAAACGCCCCTCGTAATTCATTGACTTCTTTCTGACAAAGGTGTTAGAAAAATAAAATTTGGTGAAAGCTTTCGTCTGTGGCGCCGCTCCTTTTTGCAATAGGTTTCAAAAGTTCTACGGGGTGTACGAAAAATAGACTGAAATATTTTAGAGGGTGTTTCCTTGTTAAAATTATTTATAAAAATCAATAAAACAAATCTGTCCAGTGACATGCAATGAAACAGTTCATATTTTTTTTTCTCGAAAACGAACTGAGATACGAAAAAAATAGAAGCGGTAAGGAATGTGTATTTTTAGATGCTTAATCAAGCAACAAATATTACAGTTACAAAAAAGGCGTACATTTGTTTGCCGACAATATTCGCTAAGGTGCCCCCGGAACGTCACTAGACCTAATAATTTTTATCTATTTAGGACTAAATGAGCCTCTTAATACAAAAAATAACATGGTCAAATTATTTATAAAACAATAATTAATTCTTTTCATATTTTTAACATCCTCTGAAATATCTCTTTCTATTTTTCGAATACCCTGTATTTCCTGATAAGCTTGACTTATCGGGTAAGACGTCAGTGAAACATGAATAATAATTATGTTCAAGATTATGTAAAAAATACCTCTTCATAATTTCAATTATCAATTCAATTGCATGTATCAGCTTGCAATCATCTTCAAGGGCGTGAAGAAATATAACTTTTGGCGTCATTATGTTAGTTTCACAAATATGTCTCTGAATTTATTCAAACGTATGGAAATCGTGAACGTTTTTAGAAGCTTTTGCTTGGAATCAGGCTGCAAATATTTCATAAAACTTCATCCATATATTGACAGTGGACCATACTACTATTGTAAGCAACTTTTATCTGCAAAGAGAGTTCACATAAGTACATTTAAATAACACCTCTGCTTATTTTGAAACATCAAGAAGGCTGAATCTGTATTTCATGGAAAGTAGCATACATTTAAGTACAGTTTTGAGTGGAAAGCGTTTGGCCTTCTTAGGGTAAGTTTCGGAAATATATCTCTTGGGAACGTTTCCAAGGTCCTCAACAGTTTTATGAATGCTTCGTGAAGTTCAAAACCAACCTTCTTGATGTCGTACTCTCCAATGCTTACCCTGTAAAATTTTTTATGTTTGTTTGATTGCTGTCTACATATATTGCTGTATAAATCGGGGGCTTTAATCATTCTTAACATGCTTTTATTGTTCCTCTTCACTCTACTCGTGTATGCCCATGAAACTTTCATCCAGTTTTCCAGGCAGAACATTTTTTGGGACAGCTGCCATTATCACCCTCGGGAGTGTCTATAACTTGTACCATTCCTGAAAGTTGGAGTTTCCCCCTCCGAAGCTCGATAAAAATATTTGGGCTATGATTCTGAAAGAAAACCTGAAAGTTTTAGGACAGCAATTCTGTAAAATACGTAAAAATAAGAAATGTGCAATCACATCTTAGCTAAAAATAGATATGTTCGTAAAATATGCATCTAAAAAAAAGTAAATACCAAATGTGAGTTAAAATTAAAAGTATAATGACTACATCATTATCATCAATATTTATCATAGTCCATCACACTTCCTGAAATACGGGACGTTCTCACTCTCTCCTAAAAGCTGAAACAAACTAAGAATAAAACTAGCGCTACGATTTTAAAGCATAAATAATCATAGACAACATACCTATGAAATACCTAAGAATAAGAACCATTTTACTTGTAAATATATTTTCTCAATAAATAAAGGTGTTTTATCCAGCTGTTGATAGTAAAATAGAAATAGTGAATACCAAATATTCGTAAGTATTACCAGTACTACTACTACTACTACAACCTTCTTATTTAGTTACTTATCATCCACGGACACAGTTATGAAACCTGAACTTTTCACATATCTCATCCCTCAGAAACACTGGACAATTTTACGTCAGCCATGTGTTTTCCAAGACTCTCCGAAAATGATTAACCACATGTCTCGCGTAACATTTCTTCACAAAAAAGTAATAATTGTTTTTAATACAGTAGCTGGAGTGAATCATGTATCTTGTGACCATACTTGCGTGTACTTACATTAACACCATATTAATACCTAGCGATGTTCTTTTAAATCCTGGATACCTGTTTAACAGCTCGGCCATGGACCCAGAGGAATTCCTTCCTTCACTTCTCCCTCTTTTTGACCGACTTTTGCACTGTGCAATCGTTGAAGTTTATCACAGCTTTGCTAGTTGAAGGAATAACCAAGCCCAATAGTACTTTAGAAAAATGTACGAGAAAACATAAAACATAGAAGTCCTGTATAAAATATAAAAACATATTTACCGATGATGGAGAGTTGACTGTGTCCTTAGTTGTGCCTCCACATCGCAGGATGGCCAAAAAGGGGCGAAGAAAATCCTGAATACACTTTCATTTCAGCAAACTGCTATAGTCCCTGTAAAAAGTATAAAGAGCAGTACTACGTTATTACAACTCCCACTATCACAATTTTGGCAGAAAACGCGTCTCCGCATGCGAACGGATATAAAGCTTTCTTCTATCTAAAAAAAGTTACGCTGGTATTATTTTCGTAGTTTAATTGCTTCCATTGTATTGTACTCATGTTTTCGAATATCTGGTTAAACAAATGAATATACATAAAATAGTTCGCTTTAATATATTGACTCCTGTTATAAAACCTGGTTCGCACGCGCAAGGGAAATATCGCTTGCACGTCTCGAAAAAAAAATGTCGATAAATTGTCAAAATATATTACACAGAAGTCCTATTGATGAAAACACATTTACCTCGAATGTATTCCCGCATGCGCAAGGGCATCTGCATCCACTCGATGTGCCCTGTACAAATGAGCAAGGGCATGTTGTCTGTATCCCTCGCTGTGCCCAAAAAAAATCCCTAACATTTCCGTAGCTACTCGCTATACTACCGACCACTTACTTGGAGTTTCTTAAGCGTACGTTTTATATCATTCTTCCGATTCTCTCTACTTTCAAAGTTTCCAACCGTGTGATAGCGTTTTGTTATTATTTTTCTGACTTTTCTAATTAACTGACGGCTTTTCTTAGTGATTCCTTACTATCTAAATGAGGCATCCTGTCTGGGCGAGAGTATTTTGTTGAAGAGTCGTCAACCAGTAGGTTTTACAACCTCACAGAGCTCTCTTTCGTAGTCACCTGTAAACCCGACACCAATAAGAAAACCCTAAATGCACTTACATTTCAGCAAACTGCTCTAGTCCCTGGAACAAGTAGAAACAACATGAGTATACAAGTACTATGTTAATAAATCTATCACTCTGACACTTTGGGCAGGAAATTCGGGTGGTACAATTATTATATCGAGCGTTTTCGTATCCTATAAAAGCTTATAGACATAACGGGCGAAAAAGAAGCAAAAAGTAGGGATTTTTTTGAAAAAACGTAAAAGTGGAGATATGTCGAAAACTAGGCTTTCACTAAGGTCATGTTGATTTTATCTGATTGATCTACCTCCCGTGTCACTGTGACATGTTATTTCTGGGACACCCTGTATAAATAAAATAGTTCGATATAATATATTAGCATATTTTATTAAAACTGGTTCGCACGCACATGGAATACCCCTTGCACGTCCGTAGAGGTCGTAGTTACCAACGATGAGCCACTACCAATAAATTATCAAAATATGACGAAAAATTGTCGTAAGACAATAAATAATCACTTTAATTTCCTGTATTTGTATCCTTGTCCTTATGGAGCATTTCCAAATATTTCAGAAACCACTATTTAGCGACAAACTTACAGAAAGCTATATTTTTATTGTTTAACAGTATAAATTGTAAAGGCAGGTAGTTCCATAAGGAAAAAAATACTTTTGGGTTTTTGTAGCTTAGTTTTTATAACATACTCATTTTTACTACTGTTTACTAATTATCCTAATATCGCATAAGGTCTACTAAAGCAGATCTTCCGTGATATAACCGTTACAATCGTGTGAGAACACAAATACAGGGTGTCCCAGAAATAACACACCAGAGTGACATGGAAGGTAGATTGGCTTCAGATCAATCAGGTAAAATCAACATGACCTTAGTAAAAGTTTTCTAGTTTTCGAAATATTGACACTTTTTTTTTCATGACTATTTTTTACTACCTTTTTACCTGTTATGGCTATAAAGAACTTCTAACTTATGATCTTTTTCTGAGCTACCAGAAATAATAGGTTGAGAGTAGTATTCATTTCATTGAAAACTAGCACGGTATGCTAAAAAAAAAAAATTGTTACCTTTTGTTTCAATGTGTAATGCTCTTTTTTAGTACTGCTCCTTGTGTTTAGTGCTACAAACGTGTTATAAGAAAGACTTGAAAGTGACAATATCTCCAAAAATAGAGAACGTTTACATCGTGTTGATTTTATCTGATAGATCTGAAGCCAATGCTCACATGTCAGTCTGACGTGATATTTCTGGGACACCCTGTATAATACGATTGAAGTATTTATTTATCGGCCTATAGGACTTTGGCAAAGCCTTTCTTTAGTTCGCACTTTTGCTGCTACGTAGTAGATGCAAGCTCAGATACAACACGAATATAGTGCAATGGATGGCAAATCTTCAAAATTCAACCTCTTAAAAATATCGATATGGAGGTATTTATATTTTACAACAAATTGTAAACAACTTTATATACGAGAGACAGAATATGAACACATAATACAATAGGTATTTACGTGAATTAATCTCACTTTATTGCAAGTTTTTGTACATGATACTGTGCTACTTGTTATGTATTTACATTTACTATAGACGAGGCGAAAAAATTCGTGGGATAAATTTTCTATCTCGATTTTTGAATGAATAATGAGGTAACTCGCTGAAAAGTGTAAACAATTACAAACTACAAAAAAAATTTTTTGGCCCGTACAAAGTGTTTTTAGATTATTTGGATCATTGTGAATAAAAACAGTTTCGCTCTAAAAGGGTCGTTTTCAAGTTATAAGCGATAGAATATCTGAAAAACCCTAAAAATGTTACTCGGTTAAACTTCAAACCTTCTCCTACTTGGGGTATTTTCGAAATGCTGCTATTTCATTGTTAATAACAATAATAACGCGCATTAGAATACGCATTAGCACCTCGCGTTGCTAACAATTAAGTAATAATACTTTATTAAGATATACTAATCTTACAATACTCCTCGAAGTTTTGAAGGAAAAAGGTGCAAAATTTAACTTAGACACATGGCAACTATAGTAAGATACCAAAATTAATGACAGTAGCGAAACTCATCGTACGCGACTGCTATTACGCGGAGGCCTTCGAAAATGCGGCGCTTCTTTATGAAATGTCGGTTAACGTCGCTGTAATCAAAAGGTACAGCGTCAAAGTAGTGGCGCACGATGACTTCTGCTACTGTCATCAATTCTAGTATTGGACTATAGATGATAATTTTAACCCGAGTTTTAAAGTATTGAAGATCGATACTTTTAAGGTTTCTCAGAACTTTAATCGTTTCTAACGTGAAAACGTTTAACTTTAGAGACAAATTGCTAATGACTTTTGACCACAACAAAATAAGTCAATCTTGACATTACGAGCTGAAAGCTAACACAGAAGTATATGACTATGTTTAAAATTTACCTAGTCTGCTGTAAATACATTCAGCTCAGGAGGATCAGAAAAATGCTCATATCCAACGTGAAGATACTCCACTCGCCTTTGATGAACAACCTCAACCCATTTTCACACATAATTACTCCCACAACACCATCGCGACACGACGACATTGCGGAAAATCGCCGACAAAGACTTCCCGGCACACGACGAGTGGAACAGAAGCATAGCGTTGTATGGAGGGCTCGGCGCACCACGCTCCCCAAACGCCAACCGACAACTGAAGATTGAACACTGAACCGACGCTTGTTAGCACGCAGCGTGTAGTACGCGGGTACCGCTTTCCGTTCTGCATCGTCATTGGTTGGAATTTACTCAGGCACTTTTCCACCACCCAATCTATTTTGGGCATTTACGTAAACATTAGAACATCAGAAAAAACGTATCACAAGTTTATCACAAAAAAAGAAAAGAAACAAATACACAGATCATCCTACCTCAAAGCAACTTAAAATAAACGCATAAATTGTTCACGATTTCACCAACAGATCATTTTAAACGAAACATTAAATTTTTTATTATTTTCAGTATTCCTGATATTAGAAGGAATCAAATTGTAAAATTTAGGTGCTAGATATAATTATGGGACACATAATTTGTATTTAATTTCATATTTGCATGTACAAAAAAAACTAAATATACTGCAAGGATATATTTATAAGATTTTAATATTGTTAATTTCTTTCATAGTGGGATATAATCTAGTTTTTTTTAGAATAATCCTTACAATATGGTTCTGCACCACTTTTAGCTGCCCAAGATTTGAACCGTACATCCCACCACACACACATATATGCCATATACCAAAAGGGGCACCACAAGTGCTTTGTAAATCATGAATAATAGTTTAAGGTTCAGTATATTACGAAGAGTGTAGAATTTATGGATGAAAAATCTATTTTTTTTTCTCAAGTACAGCACATGCTGGTCCCACTTCAAGTGCTGATCAACAACAACTCCCAAATATTTAATTTCATTTACTTCTTTCAAAGGCTCATCTATATTATCAGGCGTAATTTGATTAAATGCTGGTCTATTAGCCATTGTTATGGAGAAGGCAATGTAATGAGTTTTATTATATTAAAAGTTAATTTAAATGTGTCTAGAAGGTTCTTAAGCATTATAATGACGTTTCAGGTCTTTTTGTTATTTCAAACAATAACAATAGGGGCTGTTGCCTTTGGCTTGCACGACTTGCGGTATTTTTTTCTGCTAGAAACGCTTCATTAATAGGGTGTCCATGCTAGGCTGACAACACTGCTAATTCTACTCAATCCAAAGAATAGTTTTTTACTCTTGGATTTGTCTGAGTATGGTATATTGTCAAACTAACTCCTCTAAGTCAAATCATATATAAGAAAGCTGAAACATTTTTTAACGGAAAGGTACTATAGCTTCAGTTCAACGAAAATATTGGTCATTTATACATTGACACATCTCCTTACAGAGTAAAACAATCTGGTAAATAATCTTTTAATCAATTACGCTGATTAACGCTTTCGACAACACGTGACAATAAAAAAACATGTTATATGCATAAGAAGCACTTTGCATACATACATACATATACGTACATATATACTTATTTTTTGTAAATATCCAAAATCCCCGTAAAATACGCTCACATACTATATCGAATACCAAAAAGCAGACGAAGATATATACCGAATATAAAAAACCCATAAGCTTAAAAATTTTGAGATTTTCCAAAAATTGTCTCATCAAAAATTGTTTAAAATAATGCAGAAATTAATATTATGTAATTAGAATGAGTAGCTGGTACAAGGTACAGCTGTAATAACATTAATGTTAATATTGTAAAATTATTATTATTGTAATGGCGAATAAACATTCATTCATTAAAAATCCCCCATTTTTAATGAAAAAATTTTGTTGAAATACTTCATTATATCTAATATTTCGTATTGTTTTGGCTTTGTTGAAAAACAAAACATCCTCCTTCTCACTTGCATTGGGGCTTACTGAACGGATTTCAGTACCCCGAGCAGCGTTGCCAGATTCGTCACAGGGAATTATCGTACAAACACGTCAAAATTATCGTATATTATCCTTAGGTTCTCTCAGGATTCATGATGGAGGAAAATTTCCGTCTCGGGGTGGGGGGGGGGGGGCTCTTTTGTGTCCCACTCTTTCCTATAAGCTTGCTGTCTATGTTTGGCTTTCTTCAAAGATTCCGCTCCTTTTTTTATTTTCTGTATTCGAGAGTATCGCATCTTCTGTTGTGGTTCTCTCTTCCAGAGCAACTTGATTCGGAATCCGACATGTTACCGTTATTGAATTGAAACCGGTTAAATATCGAAAATAACTGAAAACGATCTTTTGATTTTTAAGTTTCAAAAGTCATAAAAACGGGAGACGTCGCATTTATTTCATCTAATGCACATGGGTAAATAAAAATATGCGCGTCATTTCAATACATAGAACGTGAGAACTGATTGACGGCAATTTTTCCCGTTGATGTTTGCCGAGATAGTCCGCGTAATGCTAGGGTACGCGCGCTTGTCTACCAAGCGGCAACACCGTTTTAAAGTCGATGGGTGAAACGGTGAAACTCATATTGGCGAATGGGAAACAAAGCAGTGTTGCTGGTGCATAATATGACAACCTTGTCGCACCCTCAAAAAATGGCGACTTATTCAGAACTGACGTTTTCTGATTGGTCACATATAAAATAATCTCCAGCGGGTTTCTTCCTGTGCTTATAATAACCTTACTTTTTTCATCATGTCATTTTCTTTCTTACTTAACATTTCATTCTAATTAAATAAAGTCCCTATTATGTTATTTGAGCCATATATGCATTTTCTTCAGAGTTGTGAAGCATAACATTGTAAGTAGACAAAGCTGTAATACCTATGTTTGCAGATACTATAAGACAAACTCCACATCAGCGGTTACTCATTTTAGGAATGTAATATTTGAAGATCGTACCTGTTTGTATCTCCACATCACTCTTTGAACAGTGGAGCGCCACGAAAAGTTCAACAGCTGCTGTTGTCAACCCCTGAGGTCATGACAATTATCAGAAGCTCAGAGATTACTTCTGATCTAACCAAAAGGCTCAGCTCTGAAGGATATTTGCAGAACATAACATTTGTAAGCTTTTATATGACAATAACTAATCATGATTTGTACTGCTTTTTGTCCAAGTTAGTTTTCATACTTCGTTTTAAATCAGCTATTGTCAGAGTAGTAGGGTTGATGTGTAAAGCTCACTATAAATTTAATGAAATCAAAGCCAAGTATTGTTATTGAACAATAACATAGGTGCCCTCAGGGGGGCTGTGGTAACAGTTATATCTTGATGATAAGCACATCCGAGAAAAATTCCTATGGGTACCCGTGGAAAATCATATTATTGTTCTAATAAAAAAAGAAATGTGAATTGTAGTAACATATCAACACAATTCAATTTTTTCTAATTTTTGATTTATGCAGGTGCCAACAAAGGCTGAGGAATGCAAACATCTGGTCCATAATGATGTTAATACTGATTTGTTTGTATAAAAATGTATGAGATTTACATAATAAATATATGTATATTTAGGTGTTTGCAGTATATGTTTTTCTTGTGAACCTTTCCAGATTAGTAAGTAGATATGAGTGATCTTATAACAGCTTGTGTTATTGACGTTGCTATTTTTACATAAAAAAAACATTTATTCGTCAAGATAGCGCAAAATGTTAATAACACATGCTGTTATAAGATCTCCCATATCCCACAAAGTTTCTATATATATATATACAGGGTGACTTTGAAGTTGAGTCATTAATTTCCAGATAATGATTGTAGAAGGAAGATAAACCAAAATATGTGTGTAAAAATTAAAAAAAATGTTACCTTGTTTTATAAAATATCCTCCCGACAAGTATTTCAGTGCGGACCTGTATTTGATCGTGCGGTCTTGGAGCACATACCCTCCCGTGTGAGAATTTAAGTCACCTGATTCACGAGCCCTTTTTACTACATTAACAAAGGCACTAGGGGTTGGTTGCACTCGATTGGGAAACCGATCCGCATAAATCCGTGTTGCTGTAGCAGCATTTTGTAAAATAAGAATCATGTCCACAAGTTCAGCATTTTCGTAAACATGTGCCATTTTTTATTTCGTTTGAGCCACGCAGAAACACCACTCACGCGTTACCGACTGACACATCGAATGAATACAACTGTATAAAACATCGTGATAAGCGTTTCAAATTCTTTCGCTTTTTTGTTTCCGATTATATCCGTTGTTGCCAAACACGGGCACATATTATTATTGAGACAGGGCGGTACTCAAACTTCTAAAGGGCTATAACTTTGTTACTTTAATTTTACCACAAAAATGTTAAAGGAAAAAAACATTTCTTTTGATCAGATCTACTCACTGTTAAAATAAATGACTCAACTTCGAAGTCACCCTGTATATATATATATAAGTATAGAGCTGGCAACGCTGCGGGATAGTAATGCACAATCTGGCAACCTTGTCACACCCTCAAAAAATGGCCCCTGACAACCATACAAGTCACCGTGTTGCCATTGAATAGCATGGAATGAAACCTTCTTCAGTGTATATGTTTTGTGTACTAAAACTTACTTGACACATATGCCTTATAGGTTGCATACTTTCTAATACAGTGATATTTTTCAAACAACTATCGCCATTTATAGGTCAGGCCGGTTACTTCTGGAACCACCCTCGTAAATGAATCGTTGCAGGTTTCTGTAATAATCACAAAATAGTTAATAGCAGTAGCTGCACTACTGGCGTTTTGGCGACATCTATGAAATAAATTTTATACTAGAAGGTAGAATTGTCTCACTGCAATCTATTTGTACTTTGGCAGGTGTCAATGACATCATTGAAAGAGCAGCATCTGTAGAAGCAAAAATGAACTACCAATATATTCTAGTTTGATGACAATCAGCTGTTACCTGCCAAATAAAAATCATCGTTCTTTGAGGTTCTGTGCTTGTGATGGTGGTGACATGTTTGCTAGAGCCTAGAGAGGTAGAAAGTGGAATCGATAACAAACAGTGATAACCCCGATGAAAATAGTGAGCCCATGAATTAAAACCGGTCGGCAATTAACGTCCAACAGTTATGCAAAACGTCGTGAATAGCCTGAAGGGCACAGCCCTAGCAGTAGGTGAATACCTGACACCAGTTTTAAAGGTAAATTTGTACAAGGTATGTTTTATTTGGCTGAAACGCAGAGGTTTCAGGAGTCAAAGTTCAAAGAAACCGGGGTCTTGACGCCAGAGGAATTCGTAGCAGCTGGGGATCACCTAGTGCATCATTGTCCCACCTGGCAATGGGCTACTGGAGATGAATCTAAAAGTAAACCCTACTTGCCTAAGGACAAGCAGTTTTTGATTACTCGTAATGTGCCGTGTTCTAGGAGGTATGCTTACCAAATAACAGTGACATATCTTAGCTCTTCAGGTCCCCAAGCAAAAATATTTTTGGGAGTGTCTATAAGCCAGGAATAAGACTGAAATGGCCCTGACAGTGAAATTTGTTGGTGTAGGGGTGTATGAGGTCATCACTAACAAAAAAGCAAATAGGTTTTGAGCAAATTTTTGTCATAGATCTTGTTTACCTCATTCAAAAATTGTTCTCAGGATTAAAGTTACCCTTAATTTCATTTAGCACCTTAGTTACAACTTTTTTGAGTCTCTTATATCATCATGATAAATTCACTTGTTTAGATTTTAACATCTCGGGAATAAGAAATATTGTTGCATGCAACATGAAGCTAAGGGTGTGTCTGGCAATGATGGAATGCCTTCTTTTGTCAAAAACATTTTTACAATGTACAAGAACTGTCATGTCATATTAGTGTTTAGGTAACATCTCCATACATCACTTGCAATTTTCCGAGTGAATCTGAAAGTTTTTTACACTAAGTGACTAAAAATAATTGTAATACAATTAGTTATGTGTAATGGGAGTCTGTCCTTTTCATGACACTACTAAAAAAATACTTTTAAAAATTGTGTGCACCACAAACCTAACATGTCATCAACTTGTCACTTGCCACACAGTATTGCCAGTTCCCAAGTTATCATTGAATTCTGGAATAAAATTGCCACACCACATATTATACACTCCATACTGTTGAACCTTGCATAGCAAGTAGCAAAACTTACTACTATACTTAAACACCGAGATCCAAATTTCTCTGGGAGCTTGAGTTCAATGTGTATGAGAGAGAAGTGTGTATAGACAGATATGCTAGAAAGAGATAGAAGCAGGCTAGTTGCTGAGCAACGCTGTCGCGACCATAAGCCGCTTTGCTAATATGTTACACCAATTCCTTCAATTAAGATGCATTTTGAAAATTGCGGCTAGTTTATTCTCTAACCCAAATAATGGTTTTATTTTGAGTGTACACATTTTTTAATTGGGAATGTGTCAAATCTGGTTAGATTAGATTCCGGACCAGTCCTAATGGCGCTACATTTTAGGTCAAAATGAAAGGTTGGATTCGCCACAAATTCTGCAACATTGCATCATTAGTTTGTTTGACAACAAAGCATCCTGTACATTCCAAGGCAAGGTGTCCACCTCCAAGATCATAGTTGAGCGATTTTGGTCAGTACCCTTCTATTTGTGTCATCCTGCTTCAATATGGCTTTCATCTGTGTCATCTTTTCGGACCGCTCGTTGACGTAGGATGTAACGATGAATCAGGATGTCTTGATTTTATCACCATCCGTGGAAAACAATGATAATTTTAAAATAAATAAATACACTAAGTTGCATCAAAATTGAAATAAATAATTCTATTCAAGATGAAAACAAAATATTAAATTGAAAGTTTTATGTAATGTAAGATATTGCCAACGTGGCATTTTGCTCGACCTTCTGTGTCATCTTTGCTAGACAATGTGGTGGTGACCTCTTGAGCCGGCTTCTATCTCTTTCTAACATGTATTGATACACACTTCCAGTTGATACACGTTGAATTCAAGCCATCAGACAAATTTGGTTTTCCCTGTAGATGTCAGCAGATGGAATATTCCCAAGAACTAGAGAAAATAATAGTGTCAGAAGATGCAGACAATGGTTGGGTGGATACACATCATTATGATAAAGATATAACCTCTAGCGAGGATAATGCTGAGATGACTTTGGAGGCGGCGAGGTCAGAAAGTATGGAGGAGGCGGCAGCAAAAGGAGATGCAGATGAGGATGATGACGACGATGAAGAAGCGGCAGATATGGAGGAGTTTGAGGAAAGTGGTGCTCTTGAGGATGATCAAGTAAGTGAACCAATTCCTTTGATTAATGTATTCTCCAAGGAGATGCTCACCTATACTTTTATATTTAATTCCCATTGTCACAGCCATGTTACCGTGGACCACAGTAATTCTCTTAGAAATAATAAAAACACTTCATTTTCCTTTCAAAGAAAATTGTTCTAAGGAAAGGTCATCTCTCTACCTTGAACTTCCAATAAATTCGTCTCTATAAATTCAAACACTTGAAGCTTTTATTAATACAAATATAATTAAAGAATTCTATTAATTGAAGAATTGATTGACTTTATCAGTATTCTTAATTTTCAGATAGCCAAAGTAATAAAACCAGCAGATACAGAAAGGAAGAATGATGAAGATGGAGAAATTATTCACACCCGAACATATGATCTGCATATTACATATGATAAATATTACCAGACTCCTAGGTTGTGGCTCACAGGATATAATGAAGTAAGTAGTGCATAACTTTGTCCAAATATGCCATTATATGTTTGATTATTATTTTAGAAACATGAACCTCTTTCACAAGAAGAATTATATGAAGATGTTAGTAAAGAATATGTTATGAAAACTGTAACCATGGAGACACATCCTCACCTTAGTGTACCAAAAATGGCATCTGTACATCCTTGCAGGTGAAAAATTGTTGATTCACAGGTCAAAACTTTTCAATAGCAAATATTCTTTGGTCTTTTAGTTTCCAGATCTGACGTAGGACATTCATTAGCACAGCTGAGCGCTCACTGATGGGTTGTGGAGCACATGATTGGTACATGTCATGTCAAATTTTCTACCAATCATGACGGTTGAGTAACCGCTCATCAAGGAGTCAGTTGAATGCGGCCATTGCATAGCGTTTAAGATGTTTGTTTGTTTTGTATTTAGTTTTTCTGATAACATGTTTCTTTAAAGGCATGCTGAGGTAATGAAGAACATAATCGGCTACGTTGTAGACGGTGGTGGCGAACTAGGAGTCCACATGTACCTGATTATTTTCCTGAAATTCATGCAATCTGTCATACCTACCATCGAGTACGATTACACGCAAAATTTCAAAATGTAATCAACTTATTGTATGTTTTTATCTTTGTGAGCACACCGCCGCTTCTCATGATATTGTTATTCTATTTACTAAGCTTTATATATTTTTTTTACCTATTCACAAGCAATTTTTATGAAAGTGATGCTTGTTTCAATAAATATATTTTATTAGCAAGTGATTCTGGTCTTTCTAACATCCCAACCAACCAAAGCTTTTTTATTTCATTCAATCTAAGCATACAGCTCTCATCAAAATTTTGTATGAGGATAATAGAAACAGCAAGAGATAAATGCACGGAGTTTCCAGCTAGTTTTATATCAGCAGCGCGCAGCGCCCTCCTATACTTTTTCACCTTTCTCTGATCCTGGCAGCAAATTTTCACCTATCGAGTCTGACGAATTTCTAAGAAATATAACAATTTGTAGATCGTAGAAACGGTCCGAGAAACATGAATTTCCCACCAATTTTCTATTTGGAGAAAGAACATCCTCCTCGCGTTTCTGCGATTCTGGTAACAAATTTTTATACACTTAGTTTAACAAATTTGCAAGAAAAATCAATCAAAATGCGTGATTATCATCAGCCAATAATTTTTTATTAGGATTGCAGAAACGGCAAGATGCGAGAAGAATCCGACTTAAAAAATTTGAATCAGGATAGCAAAAACGGTAAGAGTCACCAACCCAAGAAGTATGAATTTCCCGCTAATGTTGCATCAAGAGCAGGATGACCTTCTCATACCACCTTGCGTTTTATGATCCTGGCTCAAAACTTTTAGCTATCGAGTTTGGCGACTTTGTAAAAAAAATCTAGCAAGAATTGTAAGTAATTGCCCGAGGGTATTATTTTCGCATTCGAGTTTCCCGCCAACTATATCGGGAAGAGGAGCACCTTTCCATACCTCCTTGTTTTTCTATGGTCCTTATAGCTTATCGAGTTTGCACGATTGGCAAGAAAAATCTAGCAATGTTGTTAAATCACCAAGAATTTGAATCAGGAATACAGAAACTGCAAGTGAGAGAATTTTTACTTATCAAATTTGACGAATTTGCAGGTAAATTTTAGTGACACAAATACCAATTCTTCCTTAAAATAGATTTATCCTTGACGAGTGATGGAAAAATATAGGAAATTCAATGTTTATATATATATATATTTATAAGAGGGTCTCATGTAACAAAAAGATTGGTTAACAGGCACACAAATCTTCATGGAAAAATATCAATCCTTCAATCCAGTGGAATTTGCTCAATAACAATCTAAAAAAAAAGAAAACATATCTTTAATGCAAATCCGTCTTAGTAATAAGCCATGAGCAATATGTTAGCATCAATTAACCTCCCAGAATCAGCAAAAGATATCCCCTATTATCCTCGTAATTCCTAAGATTTCGCATTCTCAGAATCCTGTAATCTGAGGCTACAGTCTAAGAGGCAGCAAATCTCTGCATACGTTAAGCTTGGCAAGCCGTGAAAAATGTTTATCTGATTAAACATTAACCTTAGTTAACCTTTACGTATGTGATTTGCCATGATTCTAACATACTCGTATCTTTTTTATTCGTACTATTGGTATAATTGCAAAAGTATATAGATTAGTAGCGTAAAACCCAAAAAACTAAAAGCATTTAAAAAACTAAAATCAAGCTGACTGGCAAGCACATTGAGAGCAGTTACAAAAAGTCGGCTTAACGTCTTTAATGAAGGTACTACAAATATGTACGGAGACTCTACCATGAAGCAACAGCTCGACTATAATACGATCGATTTTTTAACCCTTCGCTTCGAAAAGTAGAGAGCCAAGAACCCAGGGTTGGTGTAACTCCTAGATACTAGGTAATGTAGATGTTCTAGCATTAGCTGCGTCACACTCCACCTGGAGTAAGGATTAATTTGCAAGTAGTAGTCTTTCCTGTCAGTCAAATGTCCCAAGTAGAGGTTTATGGCCTGAACTGCTGTGAAGAATATTGCAAGACAATCTGAGCTGTTTTTCCTTGGTAGAGTCTCCTTGGGCCACTGGTAGGCACTAGGCACGTACCTTGGCGCACAGTTTTCTGTACTGTTGATCATCGCACCAGGCAGATCTTTCAGGCAGCTGTTTTCCCCTTCTGCGCAGCTCCTGTCCGATTTCCGTCAAGTCCAAGATGGGCAGCGGGTCCAATTTGTGCTTGCCGATCAGCCCGACTAGGTATTCTACATAATGCGGCCTACGTACACATCACAAAACAAAAACATGTTAGTAGCTTGAAATGGAAAACAGAAATGAGGATGTTGTTTCGGAAAAGGGGCGCAGCTTTAAGGTACTAGGGTAATCTCAAAAGTGGGGTCTTTTTTCCATATATTTTTTTCAGTATAAAAGGCATTTATTTTAAAGACTTGATACATCATTATAAAGCTTAATCATTGATCTATTATTGTACTAACTACCGTTCTAGTCAATTTATTTTTGTAGCTGATATGGCAGTATTTAACCTCTATTGAACCTCATCTTTCACATCGGAGTCAAAATTCAGCCGCATGTCAAATTTTCGTTCAACTTAGGGAACAAGTGGTAGTCACTACAAAGTACCAAATACCGGCTATAAGGGAGGTGAGTCTAGTTTGTTTCAGAAGAGCAACTTTTTTTTTAATTTTTTTATACTCCAACTACCACGAAGGCCTAAGGCCTAAACACCCTTGGGCACCGTGGGGCTATAGGGGGATACCGGGGGAAGGGGGGACGCCACACGGACTCAGGCGAGGGAACACGTGTGCATGCAACATGCACACATTCTGGCTCCGCCTACGAGATCCGCCGGGTGGTACCTCCGCGTTCGACAATCAGAGACCATCTACCACCTACGGACAATCACAACATCCATAGCCAAGAGAAAAATTTCTCCTGGGACGGGACTCGAACCCGCACAGCGCACGGCGACTGATCAGGAGACCGAAGAGTCTACTACTGCGGCCACCGCTGCTGCCCGGTAACTGTTTGATGGGAGGACGTGTGAGCGGACGTTGTCATGGAGAATGCTTGCTCAATGTGTCCCTCTTCTTTGTTCGAAAATTGTGTTGAATTCAGTGTTTTACAATATCTACTAATATCACTAAGAAATTTTTTTTTTAAGAAAACGTGTTCAATTGAACAGTTGTTCTGGAAAATTTTAATAACAATAATTTAATAATACATTTTTCAATTACTCTAAGCTTCTAAATTATTTAGTTTAATTAAATTGAATTTTCTGACACCATTTCTGATGAAATTAAGGTTAAACACCGAAAATATGTCATAGACAGGTTGGGAAACAGCAACAAAATAATAATGACGTCAACGTACAACAATTTTCTGCTGCAAAAGAACTGATTTGGCTTTTTTTAAAATTATTCATGCAAAATAAGGAGTTTGAAAAAATTCTCGTTTTTGGATCGATAAATGGACTGAATAGATCGTGTGGTTTCACATCTTTAGACTTTTTCCTTTGGGCTACGTTTGCATGGATAAGAGAACACGTTTGAGACTCCAGAAATCAGAATTACTCACGAAATTCGCCAAATATCAGAATTTTAAAATGGACCAAGGTACCTACCTGCTGATCAATATTTGAAAAAACAACACACAGTTGATCGTTTTTATTTTTTATGCCTTGAATAAAGTACCTAAAAACCTTCAAATAAATCACCCATTAAAAACCAGCATGTCTCCTCAACATTTCACTGTATTTGAATCATGTGGGGAAAAAGATGTTCCCAGTGATGAGTGTGGTTAGGGAAGCAAAATCCAAACAAGAAACAACATCCGTCAGCAATGGGGTACCTGTCTCAAACGCAGTCTGTAAGTCTCTCTAGGCGTTCCAAAGCAGTTGGGCGGTAATTTTTTTGCAGCACGTCTGACTATGGTTTCTAAGTCATCCGCGCTCATAAGATCAATGGGGTCCACATTATGCTTTCGCATCAATAATGACAAGTATTCTATGTAATGGAGTCTGAAAGTAAGTCGAAATCAACCCTTACGGTACTATAGTTTTAGAACGTCGTTCCAATGATAATTATATTGTTTTAGTTTAGATGACTTGTTATACGAACTCTAAAAACATTATACAGGGTGGTCAATATGTAACTAACTGGTTTGTATCTTGAATATTTATGAAATGAAATAAAATACTCAAGTCCATTTTTTCATCTTAATCTTTTATTGAAACTTAGAAATTATGTATGAAAAATAATATCACACAAATGTTCGCCTCTGGAAGTCGCGCAAGCCTGATCCCTCTTGATTACATTTTCCACGACTTTTTGGTAGGTTCCGGGAGGAATATTTTCAATCGCTTCCGTAATATTGTTCTTCAGTTGCTCCCCTTAAAAAAATCAGGAGCCGCTAAATCCGGTGACGTTGGTGGCCAGTTGACATTACCAAATTGAGAAATTAAACGTCTCGGAAATATTGTTCGCAAAAGATTCATTGTTTCCCTGGCTGTGTGACAAGTTGCTCCGTCGTGCTGGAACCACATGTTTTGCAGGTTAAATTGTTGGATTTGAGGAGCTATACAGTTTTGCACCATATCTCGGTAGCGCTCGCCAGTGACAGTAAACACCGCACCAAACGGTGACTCGACGAGGATGTGTAGTGGTTGTTGATTGATGACACGAAGGTTCTCCATATACGACAATTCTGCCTATTAACAAATCCATTCATATCGAAGTGGAGTTCATCGCTTATTATCAGTTGTTGGTAAAAATCGTTATTTTGGGTATTAATCTGCAATATTGCATCACTATATTGTCGGCGACTTCCATGGTCACTAGGCTGTAGCTCTTGGGTTAACTGAATTTCGTATGGACGCAAATGCAAGTATGTTCTTAAAATAGTGCATAATGACGTGTGCGACTAATACCCAGTTCTTGAGAACGATGTCGACGTCTCAGGGCCCTCCGCTACACTTTCACGAACTCTCTCGATATTTTCCGGAAAACGAACAGTTCGAACACGGCCCCACCTCGGCAAGTGTTTAACTTCGCCTGTTTGTTCAAATTTCCGCACCAAGTGAAGAATGGTGTTGACTCTGGGCACATTATTTCGACCGAAATCATTTCGTATCTTCCGAATCGTAGCAACAATCGATCATTATTTAAGTACAACGTTTTAACAATATGGACGCGTTGTGGGATCGTGTACCGCTCCACGATGAATTGGACACATGCCCTTTAAATAATTACTACGGCGCCACCTTCTGAAATGCGTGTATCAAAAATGGTGCGCAATTTAAATCGTTCAGTTATATATTTGCCACCCTGTACTTTTTTCGCTGTTTGTTTCTCAGGGTTCGGCACTGGACTAATTCTTGACCCTTTGTACATTGTTGACATCCCTAAGCTCAGTAGCCGTGAAGTTTATGTCTATGCTAACGATTCTGTACTGGTATAGAAGCGTATTGAAGTGGTAGATCGGTTGATTATTAAAATTGCCCAATCGAAAACGAAGGCTATGCATTGTACGAAAAGACGGGAGGTAGATTGGCTTCAGATCAATCAGATAAAATCAACATGTCCTTTTCTAGTTTTCGAGTTATTGGCATTTTTAGGTTTTTTCAAAAAATCACTACTTTTTGCTCCTTTTTGCCAGTTATGGATATTAAGAACTTCTAACTTATAAGTTTTTTCCTGAGCTATAATTAATAATTCGTTGAGACAACCAAGTATTCATTTCATAGCAAACCCGCACGGTAGGTACTAAAAAAGAATTAATAAATTTTGTTTAAATGTATTTACTAAAGTTTGACTAATTACTGTGAAAAAAATGTACCAGACTGAATCGGCAAATGATCTTAAAAACTAGCATAATTAATGTTCTTTTAAAAATAGTATAACATTTGTAGGTTCTTTCTATTGAAAATCGAATAATTCCAAGTTATGTCATTGAAGTCGTAATGCGAAATACTACAAATACAAAATAAGAGTAGCAGTCTTTTGTATCCAAATCACTAAGGAATGAAACGACCTAAACAGCGAAAGAGCTGAATAACATTTGTGCAGCACTAATGCCCTCTCCAGACTCACGCGTGAATCGCGCGCTAAGCCGCGAACTACCCGCGACCCATGAGTGTGGATCCCATTCGCGTATTCTTAACGGCTTCACGTCGAGTTTGTGCGCTGTTCCCGTTTGTTGTCGGTTTTTTGTCCTGCGACAAAGGGTTCGCAAGGCGAGAACATGACTAGGCTCCTCATTCGCTGGTGTTTCAGTTGCCTCATAGCTAGGAATGGTTGTGTTTTGCTCTAGTTTTACTTATAATGCGTAATTATAAATTGCCAAAGCGCAAACCACCAAACCGCAAAACGGCCCGGTTAAAAAGCGCGAAACTGAACACGATCTTCACAGTTTGAAGACGCATTCCAGGACGTATGTGTTATTGCTCTAATACTAAGAAGCAGAAGACTAGCCGAAGCTTTAAGAAAGGTCTCTTTCATAAAAAGTACCAAGAATTAAGAAAACATCCTGAGAAATTATTCAACTACTATCGGAACGGAAACGAGGACCAGCGGAAGTTCTGAACTTTAAGCATAATTGCGTTTATACCAACGACATCCCATTCTAATACTTTTGACACTGTGCTGCTAGATGTACGATTACGGGAGAAAGGTAAATACGCAGAAAAATCTTGCCCTCCTCATCATCTACGGAATTAAAGTATCTTTGATTTGCATTGAACTCCGGACAGAGAATGGCGCTCATCAATAGTTTGTTCAAGCCTTTCTCTGAACTCTTACGTCTGTTTTGAGAGGGGGATCATATCGCTTGTTACAGTACTTCTGTGGTTAATTAACCAAGTATGACATTGACAAAAGGAAAAAAATAGCCTCCAGAGCAAGGAAGTCCCTCTAAGACATAGTTGATTCCACCAGAAGGAAGAAATCAGAGCGGTTAGGACCTCTCTATACCTTCTGAAATAAAAGTTACAACTGTCGGGGGAAGTCAAATACCTGGCAGTAATACTAGATTCCAAACTAACCTGGAACCCGCAGATCAAACGCTCTCATAGCAGAACATAGGATTTAAGCCCTTCCATGATGCAGTAATGCCCATGATGACATGCAATGCATCTCTGGTTCTTCATGACGGTGGTCCGAAGAAAGACAGCACCGCGCGCGGTTGCCGCGTCAAATGAGTGCGCGCCAATATAAGTTCTATGAACTACAAATTTTTGCGCGGTTTTCTCCCGCTAGCCATTCTGTGACAAGTCGCGGTTTCAAAATCAGTCGCGGGAAAAAACCGTCGGTGCGGCCATTTCCATTAGTTCTTTACTCACAAAATCAGACGGTTAAAATCCGTGGCGGTTTAAGCCTTACCTAAAGAACTAAACGCGCAGGTTAAGATGTCATGCCTCAGCGTCATCGTATTCGTTATCCGAACGTCGTGTTCATAGCAACCGCCCTACCAACTCGCCATCAACGACACGTATTTGGCGTCCGTATAACGTGTTACTAATTCGGTTTGGGATATATTTGACATAACATACAAATCAAATCCAAGCGAATAACCAAAATTTCTGTGCCGCGGTTATAATATGATTTAAGATGACAACGGGTTGAAGTTTCTCGATAATTACATAGCTTAATTTATCTGACTAGTAAACATTATTGTGCCAGCTGAGTATAAAGGTATTCACAGGACCATAAATAACTAGCCTTGAAGTGTAACAGTTATTTGATATTGGTGGATTTATTTGATAATGGATACGAAAATTATGTTCATAACATCCCAATGAAAAGACATAAACACAACTTGATCGAAATACAACAAAAATGCTTTTTTAATATCTCAGTTATTATCATAATTTTTGTCGTAGTACGTTAAAAATTTTTAACAGTCGAAAATACTATACTTTTGTCCCTTGAATTATAATATAAAATCACTAAATAGTTAAAACTAAGTTAGCTAGCTCCCTTACTAAAAAAAGTAACATTTCAACAGAATCAATAAGTGGTCTGTTTTCAAAAACGTTTTCTTTAAAAGTTAGTTAAAGGATCAAGTTGTGCCCATGGACATTTTTCATCAAGAGATCTAAAATCACATACCAAATTTTCTTAAAAATTAACCATATCTCGAACTATCATAGACATAAAATGTGGGGTCCTTTAAGGTGCATTATAGAGCTGCTTTTCAGTGACCCAGTAGAGCGACTCGGAGTAACTCACAATGCTCAGCACCAATAAATACATTGGAAAGCAGCTTATGTACTCAATAATACTTCATAATCAGTAAGCTTGTTTTTTTTCAGAGGAGTGGATTTGCAAGATGCAGAAAAGGCTTAGAATGTTTTTTTAACAATATTTTTCTAGCAAATTATATCTAGCATGAATTTTATATAAGCATTCCTACAGGTTTTGCTAAAATAACCGATGAAGAATTTTCTATATACACTAAAAATATTTATCAGATTAATGCTTGAAAATCCATACATATGTATGAAAAATATTAGATATTTCATCAAAATAAAATTGATATTTAAAAATCTTTCCTCATATATTTTCTAAGTATTTGGAAAAAATATCGCAAAAATACTACAAATATTTATAATGAATATTTTATAAATAAGAAATATATTTATTAAATATTAAAAAATCTGTCGCTACAAATATTTAACAAACATTTTTTTAAAATATTTAATATATATTTAATGCTATCGGGGCATGGGAAAGATTGCATCCGTCACGTTCAAGAGACAATCGAAACAAAGATGTGATATCTCGACAATATGATCAATATTCAAATTGAAACTATAATAATTAATATTAACCATTCGGACGATGATTCCAGTACTTCCAGTTAATAAAGAATTGTAATGAAAGTAAATGTACTTCTTTCTATAAAAAAAATAATTTATTTTGTTAGATTATTTCAAGACCATTGAGGAAAATGCGAATCTGTACAATCTCGCTTTTGGGCATGCTGTGTTTCGTCTGGGCGTAAATGGACTACAAATGGGGTATAGAGAGATTAAATTCTTGATAAAATATGAGGATACCAAAATAGTTTACCTGCATAGGCCCGCTTGGCCAGGAGTGACGTCACTGTTGCAGATAGTGTCTAGTAAACCACTAGGTGTTTCTCTTTGTAACGGCACAGAACATTTTAGAACAGCCGATGCATTTTCTTCCTTTTCGATTGCTAGTTCTGTATCAAATGCAATCTTATTCTCCTGAAAAAAAATGAAGTGAATACTTTGATTTAACCCTGAAATTCCAATTTTCAAAAGGTTTATTCTCTACCTAATTTTTATTTTTATGATAAAATATATTGCTGACATCTATTTTTCAATGATGATACTGTTTATTTTCGTGGTTTCACTCATATATGGAAAAAATACGTATTTAAAATTCGTAAATTTAAAGCAAATTCATTTAGATCCTCAGTTTTCCTGTCGAATAAGGGATCAGGCAATAGCATTTGATTTTTATTCCAGATATTAACAGAATACATTTCATGTCGAACTGTCAACGTCAGAACATAAAAGTTATTTTCCCGACGGAAACCTAACTTTCGATGCAAGAAAGGGGTGTGGACAAATTCCTTATCCCAGCGTGCCCCGGTACCCATATTAACGATACCGGATGCCTCGCTGCGAGGCAATCCAGAGCCTCCCTGCATTGCAAAACAAGACTCGAAGTAATCTTACATGCACTTAGTGCTTTCATTGCAGCCTGGCTGTCGGATAAGATTGTTATTCTTCTCCTAGGCCCACCCTCCTCCAGAATGTGAGATACACAAGCCAGAATCGCAAAGATTTCCGCCTGGAAAATGGTGGTGTACTCACCGAGAGGCAGAGATAGCCTAGTTCTAGGTCCAGAGACCCCAGCACCTGAGCCCTCTTCGGTGACCGAGCCGTCCGTGTACCAGACCTGCCCGCTCACTTCGGAGAGTCCTCGGCTACCGGCGTCCCACTCCTCCCTCGTTGGGTACTCCACAATAAACTTGCGGTTGAAGCGATATTTAGGGGTAATACGATCACCCCTGCTTAGAAGGACGGGGTCCTCCCTTTCTAATTCGACTAATATGGCAGAATGCCCCTTGACCGGATTCAAGAAAGCCCAGCTGCCCTGACTCCACAGTCGATGAGCGACTACTCTCGCTTCACCGCGGATCACCAGATCCAACGGTGGGAGATCCAACAGAGCTTCCATTGCACTCAATGGCGTTGTTCGCACTGCGCTTGTAATGCTAATACAGGCCAAACGCTGAATTTTATTGAGTTTGGCCTTAGTTGACTCAGTTCTAATGCAAGGCCACCAGACCAGGGAGCCGTACAAGAGAGATGGACGTACTATCGTCGTGTAGAGCCAGTATACCACTTTGGGTTTAAGCCCCCACCTTACACCGACAACACGTCTACAAGCCCACATCGAATCGCGAGCCTTGCTAACCTTGTGTTCCACATGCTCTCCCCAGTTCAGTTTGCAGTCCAGGATAATTCCCAGATATTTCACTGACTGGGACAAAACTAATCTAGTCCCAAAGAAGGTCGGCATGACCAGTCCGTCAAGCCTTCTTCTCCTAGTGAATAGGATCAGCTCGGTCTTTTCAGCATTAACAGAAAGATCGACTTCCCTACACCACGATTCCACGGAGCGCAGAGCGCCCTGCATAATTTCCGAGACTGTTCTACAGAAACGCCCCCTAACCACTATGCTTACGTCATCAGCATAGGCTTGCGCGTAGACACCCATACTGCTGAGCCTAACGAGCAGTTCGTTCACCACAATACACCACAGTAGGGGTGACAGAACTCCGCCCTGAGGGCAGCCTCTAGCTACGTTCACGCTGCAGCTTACGTTATTCAGCATAGCTGTTGTTACCCGACCCTCCAGAGTAGAGAGGACCCAATCTATTAGGATTGATCCAACCCCGTGTCTAACCAAGGCCTGTCTGATAGAGTCGGTTGTGGTGCAATTAAATGCACCTTCAATATCCAAGAAGGCCACGAGTGCCACTTCTCGCTGATCTAGAGTCTTCTCCAGCCTCCCGACCAGATTGTGTAAGGCCAGATCAGTCGATTTTCCAGCTTGGTATGCTCGTTACAATTACTTCAAAGCTTTGACCGGAAATTTTACGTTTAAGCTTTGGAAGGCAAGTTTTGTCACTGCTAGTTCATAGAAAAAGTGGCATCAAGTAAGTTGATTCTGCACTTCCCACACAACGTCCTTATCAGTACATACGAACTAGACCCCCTGAGAAAAAAGTCAGTCAAACAGGTCCACATAATTAATCCCTAGACCAGCGGTCGCGAACCTTTTCAGTGAGTTGAGCTACTTTGATAATTTTGGAATAAACAGTGCGCTACCTAGTCGTAAGCAATGTAAGCTAACTTTAATGAAATTATACACAGTTGTATGCGAAATACATGTGTTCGTTTTACTAATACTAATACGTACTAAAATAAACTAATAAGTAATACATACTACATAACTACATCCATTCCTACCGATCTTAGGTGTTTGAAAAATAAACAAAAATTTTTATCAGCTGCAATGGCATGTCACATACGATTTAATAAAGGTAACTAAAAATAAAAAAAGCAACGCACTATTTTAAACAAAAACATGGTCATTTTTAATGTTTGGAGTAGAATTTGATACCGCCATTCAAATACAATTATATAAATGTTCATGTGTAAGTCCATTACGGTACAGGGTTTGTTCGGAAAGTAATAGGACTCATTTTCTTCCGCCATGACTACTTCGGAGCGTGCGCGCACCGACTGGATTCGGTAGAGGGCGTTCCTAGCTAACGAATGAGCGACTGGTCAGTTGTCTCCGAGCACTTGGAGAGTCAGGACAGGCATTTTCGCGCGACGTGTTTCTGTGAGTGGTGCAAGCCGAAAATGCAGCGTTCGTTAGAGCAGAGATACGCGATTAAAGTCTGTGTGAAACTCGGTAAATCTGCGACAGAGACGTTTGATATGATCAAGCAGGCTTACCCAGGTGTTGCTTTAGCAAGAAGTGGTATGTTTCGGTGGCACCAGGCCTTTTTGGAGGGCCGGGAAGAGGTCGCTGATGAAGACCGTGCTGGAAGACCTTCGACTTCGACAAACACCGATAATGTGACTCGTGTGCGCAAAGTTTTGAACTCAGACCGTTGACTAAGTATTCGTTTAATTGCCCAGATGTTAAATTTACCAAAATCTGTGGTTCATGACATTGTGACACAGCATTTGAACATGCGCAAGGTGTGCGCGAAGATGGTGCCAAAAGTGCTCACTGTCGACCAGAAATTGCGGCGAGTGGAAGTGTGCCAAGAAAATTTGAACATGTGTGAAAGTGACCCCCAATTTTTGAATAACGTAATCACAGGTGACGAGTCGTGGATCTTTGAGAGACAAAGAGGCAATCTTCCGAGTGGCACACGGGGGCGTCTCCTCGCCCAAAAATGGGAAGAATGAGCAAATCCAAAGTGAAAACGATGCTCATTGTCTTTTTTGACATCAAAGGCATCGTCCACCATGAATTTGTTCCTCCTGGACAAACCGTCAACGCCAAGGTTTACGTGGAAGTGCTCAGGAGACTCAAACGAAGGGTCAGTTGGGTCCGACAAGACATCGCAGCCGACTGGAAGTTGCACCACGACAACGCCCCGGCTCACACCGCCTTTCTTGTGAACAGCTACCTGATCAAGGCCGGCATCCCAACGCTTCCGCAGCCGCCCTATAGCCCAGATGTGGCCCCCGGACTTTTTTTTGTTTCCTCGCCTGAAAAGGCCGATGAAAGGCGAGCATTTTGAGACGACAGAAGGGATCCAAGCAGCATCCACCGCGGCTCTCAAGGCTATTCCGGAGGATGCCTTCCGTGACATCTTCAATGCTTAGAAATCGCGGTGGCAGCGCTGCATCGACGCAGGAGGAGCCTATTTTGAAAGTTTTTAAAGAATTGTAACGATTGGCTCAATAATTTTTTTCAAATCGACTCAGTCCTATTACTTTCCGGACTGTGTTTGTTTTTATTAAACTTCACATTTGAAAAAGAAGATTCACACAAATAGGTTGAACTTTCAAGGCAACACGACATAAAACTGAATATTTATCTTTACTTACTAAAGGCCAGATACATTTTGTATTTGAGACTAATGATCTTGAAGCTAAATCATTTTGAAACACAATCATTCCCATTGCTGTCGCAGCGATGTCTTCGCTGAAATTCTGCGTAACAGAAGTTGCAAACTGTTGAATATCAATTTCCATAGAGGGTAAAACAACAAATTGCGTCACTATAGCAATTTCTTTGAAAACCTTGAAACGGTTTTTGAAGTGATCCTTCAAGTTAGATACTATTTCTGTATTATATTTACTGTCACATGGTTCTAATGGACTTTGAGATATCTTTCCTGAAAGAACAAGAAAATGCCTGGTATCGCCTTCGGTTAAGTGTTGTTCCCAAAACTCAAGCTTTTTGATAAACGCTTCTATATCTTAAATCATTTCTGCTAGTTCTTTGTCTCTCCCCTGAAGCTGCAAATTAGGTTCATTCAACTTTTCTGTAATATCCACAAGAAAACCAAAATCTCTAAGCCAGATTGAATTTTCCAGTTTCTGAATCGGTTCATCACGCTGTTTGAAAAAATGAACTATGGCAGATATGATATCATTAAAACGTTTCAGCACTCGTCCCCTACTTAACCATCTGACTTCAGAGTGAAGAAGTAGTTCCCCGTATTGACAATCAATTTAATCGGCCAATGTTTTGAATAATCTTCTTGGTAACGCTTGAGCTCTAACCTTGTTCACAATTTGTACTACTAATTTCAAAACATTGTTTAGTTTTATAAAATGTCCACATAATGCTTGCTGATGGAGAATGCAGTGGTAACAGACAAATGGCGGAAAACTTTCATCTTTACGACTTAACCCCACGAGAAACTTATCACGACCCACCATAGCTGGAGCGCAATCAGTTATCAAGCCTACCATTTTCGATATTGGAATTTTCTCAGAAGAAATAACATTTCTGAAAGAAGAAAACAAGTCATGCCCAGTAGTCTGTCCTTTTAGTGGAATAAACTTCAAATGATCTTCCTTGATCGTAAAATTACTAAAAGCCATCCTGACGAACACGGCCATCTGAGAGGTGTCAACGACAACTGTAGATTCATCCAGCTGCAGTGAAAAATAAGCACAGTTATCGAAGTCATTTCTTAATTGTAAAACTGTATCTTTGCTTATTACTTCCACTCGTCTTATCACTGTGTTAGCAGAAAGTTGCTTTATTTCTAAAGTTGGCAAATAATGAACCTGCAGCTTCTAAAAACGCCTGTTTTATCATTTCCCTGTCTTCATAAGGTTTCTTCTTTTGTGTAATTATCTAGGACATCTGGTATGATACTTCAGTTGCAGCCTTACTTTTGTCGATTGTTTTTAAAAACATTGTCTGTTGCCCTTTCAACTGATTTTTTGTTTGTTTCAGTTTTTCCGTTCTGGTTGCAGAATGTAATGGGAATTATTTTCAAAAATTCGAATGTATAGTTTTATAGTGCCTCTCGATATTTCCTTTTTTAGCAACGGAAACAGATGTATTACATAACAAACATACATTTTTACCTTTAACTTCTGTAAAGAAATATTGTTCTTCGCATTCCGAATGGAAATGGTATGTCTTCATCTTCTTACTGCTTTTCATAATGTTTTTAATTGCAGGCCAATTCTAACCCAACCGCTGGACTTTGTGCCGTTCAGTTTTAAGCTGAGCGCACTGTCGCCGCGCCTTCCGTTCAAAGTAATCGAGATCGTTCTCGAACAGATCGCTCACCGCATTGTTGCCGCTGTTTGTGTTTATTATGAGAATTTACAAAATTTGCGGAAGCTTCTATGATTCTTACACCTTTTTAAAGTATGTTGTGACCCACCAGAATTGCCTTTTAGGCCTCTTTCTCTGTCGCCTCCGAACAGATTTTCAAAAACTACAAAGCTTTTGCGTCCTTGGCACAGTAGTAATATTGTGTAAAAATATTTTTCGAAAATTTCCGCTATTACAATACTTTCCTGTCAGTGGGCGTGGGAAGTGAAAATAAAAATAATCTTTTTCAAGTCAAGATATTGATATGCTGGAAAGTAACCCATCGTTAGTTAACATTTCACCGTAAAATGAATATATACTCCAAAAACGTATGCAAATCTACTTTTAAAAAAATAACGTATATGAAAAATACTTGAATATTCCTTAACTTACTTTTAGTAACTCTTGTAGTTCTGCTGGCTCCTTATCCCTTAAATAGAACAGGCAATTCCTAGGATGGTGAGCATGCAGTCCCAATTTGGCGCAATACTGACTCAGTCCACATTTCGCGCCCATCATGAACGGTTGTCCACAGCCATAACAGAATTCAAATTTACACTGAGTGCACGTGAAGTGCATACAACCACCTTTTGCCAGGGAATATCTGGAAATAATAGTTATTTTATCTAGGTATCTATTAAGTCCCACGGCGTAAAATTAAACTTTATCTATGGCTACCTGTAGGATCAATTAATAAAAATATAATTGAATCGGTCAGTGCAAAAACTTCGTAAATTACATAATTTGAATTTATAAGAAGACAATAAAAATTCTCACTGATAAAGAAATCAGTATTAAAGTACTTTTTTGAGCTTAATGTTTATCGCTTGTACAACGTTCTCACAGACTTTAAGTCCATGCCAGTATCCGCTTTCAAAAGAAATTTCTTAAAATTTCTTAAAATTTCTTTTGAATGAACAATACTTGAGTCTCTTCTGTGTTGTCCTTCTCATCTGGCTACGAGTTTTAAGTTGAAGTTTAATTACAGAAACATATTGTGCTTTGATGTTTTGATCTTTTTTATCATTTTGGAATTAATTGTTTGTTGTGTTTTGTTTTGTCACTGGGCCAGTACTTTGATCTTGTTTGCTGGTCAATTTTGCAGTATGTGTAATTTGTTGTTTATTCCCTATTTTGTTATTATTCTAAACAAATGATCATAGTCCACATGCGAGCCATCCTCTAAAGTGGCTGATGAATGGAACCAAATTGTTAAGCTCATGTATTTATTCGTCATAATATGTGGTTCCATTCATTTGGCCACTTTAGAGAGATGGCTTAGATAGACAACTATGCGATATTGTAGAAAATCTTTTAGAAAAAAGGTGATGGGAATTATATTTCTTCGTAAAGAAACTGGATTTCGTGACCTACTTACCTATCTGACAAAGTCATGCAGTCCTGAATATTGTAGCTATTTAGCACATGCAACATACCAACTAGGCTAAGACAGTTTGAAACATAATTTTGTATTCAGTGCTAACTTTATAAACAGTACAGTGCATTTCAGTATGAAATAATTTTTTTATAAATATCCAGGCTCACCTGTAACCGTGTAGAAATTTCAGCTCTAAATATGTATACAGGGTTTGTCCGGAAAGTAATAGGACTGAGTCGATTTAAAAAAATGTATTGAGCCAATCGTTACAATTCTTTAAAAACTTTCAAAATAGGCTCCTTCTGCGTTGATGCAGCGCTGCCAGCGCGATTTCCAAGCATTGAAGGCGTCACGGAAGGCATTCTCCGGAATAGCCTTGAGAGCCGCGGTGCATGCTGCTTGGATCCCCTCTTTCGTCTCAAAATGCTTGCCTTTCATCGGCCTTTTCAGGCGAGGAAACAAAAAAAGTCCGGGGGGCCACATCTGGGCTGTAGGGCGGCTGCGGAAGCGTTGGAGCGTTGGGATGCCGGCCTTGGTCAGGTAGCTGTTCACAAAAAAGGCGGTGTGAGTCGGGCCGTTGTCGTGGTGCAACTTCCAGTCGGCTGCGATGTCTTGTCGGACCCGACTGACTCATCGATTGTCTCCTGAGCACTTCCACGTAAAACTTGGCGTTGACGGTTTGTCCAGGAGGAACAAATTCATGGTGGACGATGCCTTTGATGCCAAAAAAGACAATGAGCATCGTTTTCACTTTGGATTTGCTCATTCTTCCCTTTTTTGGGCGAGGAGACGCCGTCGGGTGCCACTCGGAAGATTGCCTCTTTGTCTCGGGATCATACTCAAAGATCCACGACTCGTCACCTGTGATTACGTTATTCAAAAATTGGGGGTCACTTTCACACATGTTCAAATTTTCTTGGCACACTTCCACTCGAAGCAATTTCTGGTCGACAGCGAGCACTTTTGGGACCATCTTCGCGCACACCTTGCGCATGTTCAAATGCTGGGTCACAATGTCATGAACCACAGATTTTGGTAAATTTAACATCTGGGCAATTAAACGAATACTTAGTCAATGGTCTGAGTTCAAAACTTTGCGCACACGAGTCACATTATCGGTGTTTGTCGAAGTCGAAGGTCTTCCAGCACGGTCTTCATCAGCGACCTCTTCCCAGCCCTCCAAAAAGGCCTGGTGCCACCGAAACACACCACTTCTTGCTAAAGCAACACCGGGGTAAGCCTGCTTGATCATATCAAACGTGTCTGTCGCAGATTTACCGAGTTTCACACAGAATTTAATCGCGTATCTCTGCTCTAACGAACGCTGCATTTTCGGCTTGCACCACTCACAGAAACACGTCGCGCGAAAATGCCTGTCCTGACTCTCCAAGTGCTCGGAGACAACTGACCAGCCGCTCATTCGTTAGCTAGGAACGCCCTCTACCGAATCCAGTCGGTGCGCGGACGCTCCGAAGTACAGTCATGGCGGGAGAAAATGAGTCCTATTACTATCCGGACAAACCCTGTACATACGAGTATGAAGAAATCTTGAAATTTTTTTCCTTAGCAGCAAAAGGGAATAGACTTTGTTTTAAAATGTGTATAATAACGTATGTTTTTCGAATATCGTAGAGTATCTGTTACTGTTATCTGTTGTTACTCACAAATACGAAATGTTTGAATTTGTTTAGAAGAAAAAACCTTAACCCACCGATTAGGCATAAAAATAACATTTATCTTTCGTAATGGTTTGTGATTCATATGACCAAGGTAAACTCGTGTATTTTGCTATGAAATGCTCTTTAAACGAACCATCTATATTGCTCAATAAACTAGTAGTGTGATGGGTGGAAAACAGGTGTTTTGGGATAAAAAACTAGAAGCCCTCAAAAACTACTTGACCATTCTACTCCAATTTTGTTGTGGTTATTTAGAAGTATGAAGCCTACGAATTTGAAGAATTTCAAGTTATGGTCGCAGTTCCAACAAGTGCCAAAATCTGTATTTTGCCTCGGTTTTCGACTATAACTTTTTTGCTATTAGTCGGACGTTTTCTAGGTCTCTGTTGTTGTTGTTTTTGTGGAAGGCAACCATTGTTTAGTTCATTCTAAGTACACACTGGCTTGTGGAAGCCAGTTTGTGCAAATTATCTGAGTGTCTAGACGGACATAAACTCTGATAATCCATTATTATGTTATAATAAATGCATTAAGCGGGTCTACATTTGGTTATTCACTGAAAATTATGAAACATAGCTGAAAGAATGGTCTACAAGCATGAAATGTTTACTTTGTAATTTTAAACATCATTTACCTTACACCTTACACGTTCACAAAAATTGTGGATGAAAGTTAAATTGAAAAAGTTCCATTTCCATAAACCGTTCATACCCGAGATAGAAAATTGAATGCCTAGTAAGAATTGCTAATCATCAATCAATGATCTTTTCGGGTAATATGTACCTGAGAAATATGTGACTTACAACTTTATGAATACAGAAGTAGGTTGTCACCTAGCTGATTGGGAAAAGCCCTGCGCGGAAGATTACACTATTAAGTTTAGTATCAAAAGAGGATCGTTACTTTGAATTTCAATTTTTTTCCTAGTCTCAATATCCTGCAAACCCCACCTCAAAGATAGCGGGCGCCAAAGTTTCTTTTCACCGCTGTAGGGCGTAAAGAAGCCGATGGGTTGAAAACTCATACATTCAAAATTTTTACCTAAATTTGCATTTTGGGCAATCAATGCCGTTTTCAGCCAAATGTCTGGAAACAGCGGTAGCTTGATTCTCTGGATCATTGCTATCCTTCCATTCGGCGAACTTTTCGCAACTTATACCTTCGTGTTGTTTTTCCCACTAAAAATTATTAAGAAATTAGGATACAGAATATAATTAATTGTGAAGTACTTACAGGTCTTCTACAGCTTGCACAAGTCACAGATTTACAATCTGGGCATATCAGTCTTTTCTGTTTTGGGTGTGCTATGAACCCGGAGGAACACTGCAAAAAAAATGAGAGAGAAATAGATTTGGAATGAAAAACGTTTTTTTCGTAACTTAGACGTATACATGTGTGGACGGAATATTACTCATAAACAAACACATTTTGGGAAAATCTATTTATTGGATGTCATACATGATATTTGAGGGTGCGTTTCTAAGATATTGGCCATTATACAGGGTGTCCCAATTTCGACTTACAAATCAAAGTTGTGATTTTTCAAATGGGTTGCCTCAAATTTTATTGCATAATTCGATAAACCAATTCAAAAGAAGAACATTTATATAACATACTATGGGGTTTTGGTAATTAGCTACTGAGATATAAGGTGTTTTGTCTATAAAAACTCCCCACTTCGGCAGCCTCTCAGTCCGCCATTTTGAAATTTGGAGTGCTGAATTTTATATCAAAAAAAAAACTCCAGCTTTTATCTTATTTGTTACTTCTTCGAATTTTAATTTTTGCTCATACAGGGTGGTCAAAAACGGAAATTGTAGTTTTTCTCAAAAATTTCAAATGCATCACCCTGTATATTTGTGCAAGTTTGAATTCAATTTTTTATAAGCTTTTCTTTGATACTAGACACATAAGGGTTTTTACGCCTATTTTTTCGGTTATTAGCACGTCTTTTTTGGTACGGCTTAATTCCCTAAAATATCGTATCATCCTTGGAAACAAATAAATTGTTGATTAGTTACAAACTGTCAAAATTAGCTTTGTGAGCATTATAATAAAAACGGGTTTGAAAATGAATTTTTCCAAAGAAGAAATGGTGAATATAGTGTTCGTTTTGGGCGAAGCCCAAAGAAATAGTTTCCTCTAGCATCTCGCATTTATAAGCAATGGTACCCTAATATGCGACATCCAAGGCCGGAAACATTTTCCACACTACGAGAACGTTTTGAATTAAGTGGAGCAGTGGAATATAGTAAAAAATGTATAAATAATTCAAGTGTCACCAATGAGGCGAATCAGTTGGAGGTTCTATTAAAATTGCAGGTTCTATTAAAGATACAGGAAAATCCCCATTTAAGTGCCCGGCAAATTGGTGTAGAAACTAATATATGCAGAACTTCTGTCCAAAGGATTATTCACTAGCATAGGTACCATCCATATCACCTATGCTTGCATCAAGGCCTTCGTCCTCAGGATATCCCAGCTCGAATGGAGTTTAGTAGAATAATGCTAAATAAAGTGAGTGAAGACACTACTTTCCTCGATAAGGTTCCCTTACTGGGTTAAGCAAATAGATTTCTAAAATAAATGGAACTTGAATGTTTGGGGAGGAGTTATTGGCAGACAAGTTATCGGGCCTTTCTTTTTCGACAACAGATTAACAGGTACAACATACTTGAATTTTTTGATCGAGCATTTGCCTTTGCTTTTGGAGGATGTCAACCTGCAAACTCGGATGCTTATGTTGTACTTCAAACATGACGGCGCACCTGCACATGATCATAATCGTGTGCGTAACTATTTGGACACCTGGAGTAACAATCGTTGGATCGGTCGTGATGGGCCTATATCTTCACCAGCTAGATCACCAGATATGACACAAATGGACTTCTTTCTATGGGGCCACGTTAGGTAAGAGGTTTATAGATTTCCACCATCTACCACGGAAATATGGAGGAAAGGATTAAGGATGCTTTTCTGAACAGAAGAGAACACATGCTGAGGGATGTGCAACGGTCATTTCTCCAAAGAATATGGCTGTGTACTCAAAATGGTGGAGATATTTTCGAGCAGTTTTTGTAGATTAGGTATTAGCTATAGTTGTTTGTTTATGATGTTGTTATAGTGGTTTTTCTCTATTATGCTTGAAGCTGATTTATACTGTTATGATTGTTATTAGTTTTTTCGTCAAATCGGTAATCTTAGTGGCAATATGTAACTAGCCCACTGTTTATCTTTTGTTTCTATGGATGATGTGATTTTTTTCCTCAATTTTGGTGTGTTGTTCTATTAAAAGGTTAATAACTCAAAATCTAGTCATTTTATCTGAATCTTATACCAAAAAAAAAGCTTACAAAAAATTGAATCCAAACTTGCACAAATATACAGGGTGATGCATTTAAAATTTTTGAGAAAAAATACAATTCGCGTTTTTGACCACCCTGTTTGAGAAAAAATGAAAATTCGAAAAAGTAACAAATAAGATAAAAGCTGAGGTGTGTATGTTTTTTTGATACAAAATTCAGCACTCCAAATTTCAAAATGGCGAATTGAGGGGTTACCGAAGTGGACTTTTTTTCTGGACAAAACACCTTACATCTCAGTAGCTAATTACCAAAACCCCATAGTATGTTATATATATATATATATATCTTCTTATTTTGACTTGGTTGATCCAAATATGCAATAAAATTTGAGGCATTCCATTTAAATAATCACAACTTCTTATGTAGGTGAAAATTGGGATACCTTGTATAATTGCAAATATTTTAGAAATGTGCCCTCAATGCCATAAATTGATTTTTCCAAAATGTATTTGTTTATGAGTAATATTCCGTCCACACATGGATGGGCCACCGTGTATATGTACTTCTTATCAGCTTATAAATAATGGTGCGGTGCTTGACGTTTATTATTTGATGATCCCTCGAAAATTATTCAGTGCTCCAGACTGCCTTTAGCCTATGACATTTGATATGTTTATATTCCGAATCTGACTCCATTTTGACACTTTTAGAATCCACGAAACCCCAATATACCTAAGTCGCTCGTTCGCCTGTATCCACCGATAACGAAAATGGAGTTTTTACATGATAGAGTCGCATATTTTGCATTCTTTTCCCTAATAATGGGATGAAAATCAACTGCCCCATTCTCTATATCTGAATTTCTAAATAAGAAAATTTGTGTATTGTTTCATATTTGTTTTTCTATTTATCAATACTTAAGTTTTGAAACTTTTATTTTAAATCGTTCACACGCAAAACTTTTCGAATAACGATTATTTTATTTGAAATTATTTTTTTGACGATTCAATGCCTACTATGACTGAGCTATCGCTTATAAACTTGTGAACCATGAAGACTAGAGATAGGAGGTTGAGCTCATGGAGAGGGTGTGAACCGAAAAATGTCGACGGAGAAAGTAGGTACACTTCGCAGCAAATGAGTTTTAGGGCCGTATTGTCAGTCGTTCTTCCAATTGTAGGACGCCTTTATCGCCTCCTTGATTTTCAAAGTTTTTCACTGATCCGTATTAGCGCTCTATTTTGAGGTTACGTTAAAAATAACTTTTTGCATCAAAGTATTCATGTTTTTGATTTATATCATCTGTTATATCAGCCTGAAATTTCCTACAATTCAACAAGAAAACATATCCTCACAATAGGTGAGCGCTGACGCTGAGACGGAATAGTAGAAAACTAGAAATACCACAACCTTTCTGAAGGAGAGAAAAGACTATAAAAATCAAGGAGGTCATAAAGGCGTCCTACAATAATTGTAGGAACGACTGACGATACGGCCCTGAAGTTCTGCACATGTGGCATCTCGAACTGTTGCTGTCATTATGACTATAAACAACTCCTATTGATAAAATTAATAAACCACGAAATCATAAATCTACAAAGCTTGATAGAAATGAAAAAAGTTGGGAATAAGGTTTTCCTACTGTACATGATAATAATATGACGTTATTTGTTTGCAGTAGTTTTTCGCGTCGACTTTGAAAAATTGTTCGAGACCATAAAAAAATTAAGTGTTTTTAGTCCTGGAAGGAAATTACAGGAACAAAATATACGTGATGATTGTGATATGAGCTTGGAAGGGAGTAATGAGGAAGTATCAGATATGTACAGGGTGGCCAATATATAACTGACTGATTTAATTTGCGCGTCATTTTTAATACACGCATTTTAGTAGGTGGTACCATAATAGTTGTTTAAGGCACATGTGTCCAATTCATCATGGAGCGCTATTCGATTCCACAACGCGTCCGTATTGTTAAAACGTTTTACTTAAATAATGAGTCGATTGTTGCAACGATTCGGAAGCTACGACAAGACTTCGGTCGAAATAATGTGCCCAGTGTCAACACCATTCGTCAGTTGGTGCGGAAATTTGAACAAATAGTTGAAGACTTACCAAGTGTTCGAACTGTTCGTACTCCGGAAAATATCGAGAGAGTTCGTGAAAGTGTAGTGGAGCGCCCTGAGACGTCTACCAGACATCGTTCTCAAAAAATGGGTATTCGTCGCACATCATTATGCACTATTTTAAGAAAAGACTTGCATTTGCTGCCAACAAAATTCAGTTAACCCAACAACTACAGCTTAGTGACCATGAAAGTCGCCGATAATACAGTCATGAAATATCGTGTCATCCATCAACGACCATTACATCCTCGTCCAGTCACAGTTTGTTGCGGTGTTTGGAATGGAGGTGGACCTTACTTCTTTAAAGACTCTGCAGGTAACTCTCTCACTGGTGAGCGCGGCTGAACAATACTTTAGCGCATATCGCAAATATTTCATTTCTTATTTTGAAATGAAAGATTAGGATGTAACTTGCACGAACATATCATTTTTGTCTTAAAGGAACCCTCTGCTTGCTATAATATAGAACTTCAAAGATGCATTTTGGGTGCTAATTCTGTGGTATAAACTACTGCTTTATAAGCTGTTTTCTTCTTGTTTATACAAAAGATTGTTCGAAATTATATGAATATAACATACACTATAAGTTACTGTGATAGTTCATCTCAATAATGCAATTTTGCATTATTTTAATGATGAAAAAAGTTCATTGTTAGTCATTTCTTTTATTTCAGATAATTATTCCCATCACTACACCACCGTCACTGTCATATTCTCTCCATCTAGTTGCGATGTTGCCAAATCATGGATAGTAATATACCTTAATTTGGTTTGTCAAATTCTTATATACTAGTGCAAAATTGTGCAATCGGCACCGGATTGTCATGAAAATGCGATTTGGAGGTGTGGCCGGCAGGTTTTACTGTACTAAATCCACCTTGTGTACTACGAT